TTAGTGAGTGTACTGCACCGCTCGCACGTTTTGTCCACACGGTACAGAATTTTTGTCGTAACGTTGTTAGCGGGTAATATACGAGAAATAGCGGTTGTATATATTTTATGTTCGGTGACAAGATATATGCGTACTAGGTAAAAAAAAAATTGTCTGACATATTTATTTATTGAAAAATAATATTATCTTAAGTGGTGATGCGCATACTTTGTCAAATTAAAAATATTTCCACATACTCTTAAGAAACTAGAGAACCATTAAATATTTTTATTTTCCTAAGTTTATAGGCAAACGATACACTAAAACTATAATGGAAATAAAAGATTTCCAATCTTAAGTTTTCAAATTTGAATTGAACTCAACTCGCACCAACGTCCATTCTGGATGGCATGCGTGGGAGGCAAATGTTGCCCACTGTGTTCAGCTATNCGGTACAGAATTTTTGTCGTAACGTTGTTAGCGGGTAATATACGAGAAATAGCGGTTGTATTTTATGTTCGGTGACAAGATATATGCGTAATAGGTAAAAAAAAAATTGTCTGACATATTTATTTATTGAAAAATAATATTATCTTAAGTGGTGATGCGCATACTTTGTCAAATTAAAAATATTTCCACATACTCTTAAGAAACTAGAGAACCATTAAATATTTTTATTTTCCTAAGTTTATAGGCAAACGATACACTAAAACTATAATGGAAATAAAAGATTTCCAATCTTAAGTTTTCAAATTTGAATTGAACTCAACTCGCACCAACGTCCATTCTGGATGGCATGCGTGGGAGGCAAATGTTGCCCACTGTGTTCAGCTATATTTTAATATTAGTAAATAATTTTATGACAAATTTGCAAGTCATTATTAAACTAATTTGTATATCTATTTAACTTTTTTTTTTTTTGCCAATTTATGTTATTGATGCACAATTATTTTGTAAAATTTCAATTCTACCATTCCTTAATAAAAATATATTATACACAATAATCGTGTACGTATTATAGTTATAATATTATAATTTCTTAAATCAGATGCAAAACTATCATTATAGATGTTTTTAATTATTCTTTAGCTTATAAATCTTTATATGCGAGCCGTCATCTTCATCATCTACTCATTATATTTGGCGAAATTTGGTATAACCCAGTCACGGAATATAGTTAAATACCACTTCTCTATCTTGTAGCGTATATATATATATATAATAGTTAGCAGCCTACTTTTTATCTTGAAAATAATTTGAACTTTTTTGTGCGCTAAAGATGGTATCAACGACCATTTGTCGAATTTTATATATATATATATATATATTAGGAATAGCATTAAGATTTGGTCTTACAGAACTTGTATTTATGTTATAACAGGCCATCTCTCCATAACTAACTTACTGAGTAAAGTTGAATGATTAAGTATTTTGAGAATTATATTCGCTAGTCTTGTGGTTTAGTTAACGAGACAGTGGGATGCATTCACTTCTCAGAGTTTTACATGTATTCATATAAATTATTTCTTTGAATATATATTTTAAGTAAATATTGCTAAAAAATACTATCTCTAAAAACTATATTTTAATTTTACTATTGTACTTACTAAAGAAAAATTTTGAACAAATAGTTAGTTATTATAATTAGTTTTGGGTGTTCCAAACATATGAATGTATTAGTTATAGATTAATCATAGTTTGCCTTGTAAAAGTATTATATAATATATTATAATGTTTTAATAATACTACCAAATGAAATTTATTTGACACGCTTAAGTTATGTTACTTGTAAAGTATTTTTTCTGTTTTCTTTGATTTTGTAAATATTATTTTTTACTTATTTTAAGAAAATTACTTTTAAAATCATGATTCTTCAGCCATTTCTTTCAGTTTCAGTCTTAGGAAATCTCTCATTGACATAAGCAATAAATCGCTTTAGTAAAATATCTTCCTGATATTTATATACTACTTCCTGATGGAACACATTGATCCACTTCGCAATAATAGCGTACCGTTTAAGTTAATTAAGAAATATGAATAATATCTAAACCAAAAACAAATTAACTGAACAAGAATATTTTCAAAAAATTGGAAATTGTGGAGAAAAGAACAATTAATTGTAAAAGGCTAACTGAAAGAATTGACGACTATCTGTTATAAACAAACTGGTATCTAACGAAAATTGTAAAATTTTTCATTGTTTCAATGGATACAATAATCATTTATATAGAATTATTTTTATTTTGTTTGTAAACTTAATGAATATTATAATGATAAAGTGTCTTTAAAAAATGACGTGTCTCCGATAGTTCATACTGATATAAAAAAAGTCATTATACATAACATTTTTTTGTTCATAATTAGTTTAAAATGAGTAGAAAAATGTTCATGGTAGCTTATCAATTGAAAAATGTTATTTGTGCCTCCCAAATTATATCAAAATTATTACAAATATATCAATAGAAAGTTAAACGTCTAATGTATAAATCATAATTTCATAAGACGCATTTTTCAATAATTTTGGTTCAGTAGGAGTTTATTATTTATATGAACTGGCTCAAAAAAAGTAATAATAATGATAAAATTATATTTGGGCTTAATTGTATATATATGGCTTAATAGTAATATATCATTTTTTTATGTTATTGGTTCAGTTATTACTTTATCAGACATATGATAGCTATAATTTATTTATAATTTATTCAAATTTTCAGGTGGGTAATAAATAACAAGAGTAAAAATTCAATTTTTGCTCTAAAAATTGTTGTGTGAGCTAAGTCCCTTTAATGTCTACTCATGTTTTATAGAGAATAAATCTATGTAAAACCTAGTTAATGAAATTTTTTCATTGTTTTTTTTTATTTCAAGCCCTAAAAAAATTATTATGTATCAATAAAAATAAATATATTTTATAATTTGTCTATAAATTTTCTCCTTTTATAATTGCAGTATCTCATGTCTCACTTTTCAGAAGATCAAAAAAAAAATGTACTCTTTCAATTTTCTAAGTAATTTAATTCTAATTCAAGTCAAATTCTTGATATTTGTATGAAATTTATTTTAAAAAAAAGAGTGAGACCTAAATTTAAATACCTCATTGTCTCAAAATATAATTTTTTGAGTTACTTCTTCATTTACATTGCCATACACCATGCAATGTAATTATAAAAAAATATTTTTTTTTATAGAGATTTACTTACGCTTCCATAAAATAAAAATTTCTCACATGTACCTAATTACTCAAAATTAAAACTATATTCAAAATATTATTAATTTAAAACTAAAAAATATTAAACATTTTTTAGTAATTTTTTTGTGGCTATTGAGTTAAATAATGTTTAGTTTTTAATTAATAATATTTTTAATATAGTTTTAATTTTACTAATTTTTATTCTATTAAAATAAAGACCATATTACAATTATTATTTGTTATTAATTTTAGATTTTATCAATTTTTTACTAAAAAATAATTCCCAACAACCAATTTTATTATGTTTATCAATGTCATAAACTCCTACCTACCTATAACCTATCAGCTAGCTCCAATACAATGATAATAAATCTGAAAACTGAAAGATTTTTATCAAATCAATTTAAAAACTACAGACATAGGTTTGTTACTCAGATACTGATGTAATATAATTGGTTGGAATACAAATACTTATTATTGTTTTTATTAAATCGCTAAAGTCTGTGTTGAAAAATTTAAATTACTTACAAACCGATATGAAACTGTTCAACACCAAGCATACAGATATTATACCTCAGTTAAATTATATGGAAAATATATCAAACAATGTTGAATAAGTATTACTTATATCCAATTTTAATTGTTTGAAAGACATAACATTTGAAGACAAAATAAAGACCGTTGAAAATTTTAAAAATTGTGTAGTATACATAATGTTCAGTAAGTAAAAAAACAAGTCAGTTGTCACAAACAATGAAAACAATAGAAACCCGTTTCCTTACTTACTGAATATTCTATATATTAAATTTAACGTGAATAATAATTACTATTGTTTTTATATTTATAGATATAATAAGATAATAATATTATCTTAAATTATATTGTATAATCATTTTTTTTGAGTTATTACGGCCCTTTTAGTAGCGGTTTTGATGTTTATTTTTTCAGAAAAAATGTACACACGTTTGATATTTAAGAATTCGCATGGTATTTAATATTGAAAAAGATAAATATTTACGATTATCTTGTAGTCACTGCACAAAATGATTAAAATATGAATGCAGAAACATGATCTTAAATTTCTTCTGTTGTAATAAAATTATTATTATGATTTTTATCACGACTCTTGTCCTCGATCTAGTCGACTCAAACAAGATGGCAGAGTTTAAACGTCAACTGTGTTGTGGTATATTTAGTATTCATGCAATAGAATCTGCAGTGCACAACACAGCGCGAAATTGTCGTTTTTATAAGAATACAAGTCTGTTTAAGGGAGTTGAATAGTATACTGTCTATCGTTATAACGGGTCGTTTACAGTGTTGAGCTTTCTCTGTGTCAGCGCCTTGCGTGCAATAAATAAACAGATAAACCTAATACAGAACTTGGCTACCTATGTATTTATACGTAATAGGTCTGCAACCGGAATGAAAGCAGATGGTTAGCTAGGATTAAAAAAAAGAAAGAATGAATAAAACGAGAAGTAATGTAATCAATTTTAAATTTTGTTCATCCAATACTGGGTGTTTAATGGTAAACAACTAGAAAGTTATGCTTCTTAGCGTGGTAATTACAAAACTCAAATATCGCGTACAGAAATAATAAGAGTAAAAAATATTCTGTCCTTGAAAATATCATTATTTTTCTATTTAAATTGTTAAATTGTGACGCGAAGTATTAACACAAATATCATGTTTTAAAAATGTAAAATCACCTTGTGTAATTTGATAATACAACACCGGCTGAAATACTATATTATGTTTAATATTTCATTATAGTAACCGTGTAACATTTCTGGCCAGTGTGTAATGTTATTATTATTATTATTTGCAGCTGAAAGTGATCTCACAGCGTTTAGTTTGCGGACCGAACATTTTAAGAGTAAACAATTAGATACCAAGAACTTGTTGTCGGCAGAGAATAGACCTGCTTGGGTGAAAAGATTATATGAACAAGCCGGCGTTCCCAATAAAGTGTACGAATTTAAACATCAAGTCCACAGAACAACATCTAGAAGAAAACGTTCATTGGACGACAGTTGTTTACCTAACGATATAGAGCTTAGAAAGGTTTGTAGAATCTTATATAGTTCTTGAAAGTTTCTTTGTTTTTTATTTTTAAAGCTTTTAAAATTGTTTTACGACTAATAGCACTTTTTTGATAAAATATTAACCATTTATAAACAGGTGAAACAAATATATGGCTGGCTATTATATTTTGCATCATACATTTCTGTCAGTAAATTACCTACCGTCAGATCGTTTAACATAATAAATCAGACTGGTGAATAATTAGTTTGATTTATAGCGTTAGGAAAGTCTGACGTAATTTTTTCAATAGTTTTAAGTAACAGCAGCAAATCCGTTTACACTGTTAGTTCATTTTTTAACAGTGTATTATAACACATATAGTTCTAACCTAATATTTACGGCACATGGCCATTGAAATAAATATTTAGGCATTAAGCTAGGCGAAAAACATTCCTAGTGTTTTAGTACTTGACGTTAATGCCAAATTACGAAAGAAATCTTCATACTTTTAACTAACTTTTTTACTTTTCATATGAATAATTAGTGTTAGATTTTACTTGACTGTATAAATATGGGCGACTGATCAAGAACTTTTTCTCCAACAAGTTCAAAAATAAATACTGAAACTTAAGTCTTATATATATTGTTCTGGTGACTATAATGACAAAATATATTTTTCTTGTCAAAGTCATTTTTGGTTATAAACAAAACGCGTGACTATTTCTTTTGAATAAAACAAAGAACATTAAGTACCTTAGCGTTAAAACAACAATAACGGTTTAATGATCACTCACAACTTGTCAATATTCCATTGTTGACTATAGTACTTTTATTTGTTAAAAAATATTAATACAGTAGTTATTTATAAGTAGGCTTGCGGATATATCTGTACCTCAGAACTAGACTAACATAAGTCACATTCAGTCAATTTTTCAGGAAAGCATAAAAACAAACAAATGTAACTTCTTTCAATATTTATAGGAATTGAAATAAAAGTTAACATTCTAATATTGTTGATCTAAATTAAAAAAACTATTTGGTTAATATACCATCAGTTTACCTTTTTAGACGATTTATGTCGAGTTACGTTTTTTGAAGCAAACTTAAGTTAGGACTTCAACTCTTAAAACTATGTTAAAATATGAATAGAGTCATCATAACAAAATTTCTGTTGATAAAATTCGATGTACATTTTAAATTCGCATAGAAAAATACAATAACCTGAATATCATCGTTTTTGGTCTTTTGTTAGTCTAGTTCATATATGAGTTTTAATAGACTTTTTTTTTATTATTTAAATGCAAAGATAGTATTTCCAGTATCGAAATTGTCTGTACACTTGGATATAATCGTAGATGAATTTTGAATTCTCTCAAAGATATTGAAATGTTTTAAACCAATTTTCGACACATATTCCATGATTTGGAATTCACTACACAGTCTGCAAAACATTAATTCGATACCAACTTTTGTGTGCCCATGTCCTCTTTTCGCTCTTCCCATAAGTTTTATTAATTTCGGAGCATCCGATAATAATATTATTACTTTGGCACTATACGGCCAATACCCTTGGCGCCGCCACCGCCAGATCATGTTTGTAGTGTACAATCAAAGAACACAGCAGTATGACTTCGAGGGTTGCTGATGCGCATAATAACGCCGTTACAACTGTATAAGTGCAGTGCGAATTTAATTTAACTCAGAAAGTATTTAAATGAGAACACCAACAGCCTTTCTTGGTGGGTGCGATAACAGTTGCATTTGTTTAAAAAAATAATATTTATTAACGAGCATAAAAAATGTGAAAAAATTAATTAAAACTGGATGCAATAGGTGTAGTAAAATTTGCCAGCTGTGAACTAGTGTAAAATAAAAGCGTTTAGCTGAAATAAAACAAATCTTTAAATGAACAATGCGCTTAGTCAAGATGTTATTTATACTTATTTGTTTTTGCCTAAATTATTTTTCCATTAAAACTTTTTTCTGGCTACAGTACCATAACCGCTATATTCGACCGAGCATATAAAAATAGCGAAACGACCGCCGTTGCCCATAGCCCCACTTTTTGATCACAACTGCACAGTGTATTTATAAATTCGCAGTTTACCAAAATAATCTATTGACCCACATTTTACATGTACGCCTAGTTTCTAAAATAAAAATTTCACACAAGTTAATGGCTTTACACGTATAATTATGTCAAGATTTTGAAACCTTGCTTCAATTGACACTTGTTTGACAACTAGGACGTGATAGTAAATTAATTCCAAGTCATGTTTAAAAATATCCAAAATGCATTTAGTTTTTTTTTTTTTGCACTGAATACAAATATATATATATATAGAAAAATTATATGTATATATAATTTTTCTTTATTACAAGTATAGTTGTTTAAAGGATACATTTTAATTATGTTTAAGATGTGTTTCGGATCATTTTAAGAAAATCCAAGAAATATTTACTCTTGTAGCATTTAAATAACATTAATTAAAAAATTAAAAAAAAAAAATTTGTTCGGACACCTTATCTTCTACCCGCAAACGTCTACCATAATTTAAAAAATGCTATTTTTGTGTTAAAATTTTCGATTTTAAATTTTCAACTTTAAATTGCTATAACTTTTTGATATTTTTCATTTATTTGATATAAATTTTTTGAAAATCTGACTCTAAACCTGTCCACAAAAGGGATTCAAAAAATCAATTTTTGCACAGAAGTTAAGCTTGTTCACTTTAGTTTTTGAAAATGTTCCGGAAATATTGACACTTTTATTTAATCTTAAATTAAAGCTTATACTATGTATATTATTATGAAAAAAAAATTCGAAATTTAGATTTTCTTTTTGATGAAAATGCTATCGTATTAAAAAATATGCTATTTTTGTGTTTAAATTCTGGGTTTGTATTTTATTTTATTTTAAAATATCGTACAAAGGAAATACACTGATATTCATGATTATATTATAATTTAATTTACATAGAATAATGTTCATAAGACATTAGAAGTTAAAATTATTTAAATATTTTTACTTTTTTAGAGTCGAAAAGTAACTTTAAAATTTGAATTAGCTTAAATTGCCAATTTTATNTACAACATGTTCACAGGTGGGGATTTAAAATAGCAACTTTTTTACAAAACTTAATTTTATCAACTTTTGAAAATTTTCCGGAAATAGTGCGTTCTTTAAACATATATCAAATTAAAGCTTATGTCATGTACTAAAAAATTAAAAAAAAAAATTTGTTCGGACACCTTATCTTCTACCCGCAAACGTCTACCATAATTTAAAAAATGCTATTTTTGTGTTAAAATTTTCGATTTTAAATTTTCAACTTTAAATTGCTATAACTTTTTGATATTTTTCATTTATTTGATATAAATTTTTTGAAAATCTGACTCTAAACCTGCCCACAAAAGGGATTCAAAAAATCAATTTTTGCACAGAAGTTAAGCTTGTTCACTTTAGTTTTTGAAAATGTTCCGGAAATATTGACACTTTTATTTAATCTTAAATTAAAGCTTATACTATGTATATTATTATGAAAAAAAAATTCGAAATTTAGATTTTCTTTTTGATGAAAATGCTATCGTATTAAAAAATATGCTATTTTTGTGTTTAAATTCTGGGTTTGTATTTTATTTTATTTTAAAATATCGTACAAAGGAAATACACTGATATTCATGATTATATTATAATTTAATTTACATAGAATAATGTTCATAAGACATTAGAAGTTAAAATTATTTAAATATTTTTACTTTTTTAGAGTCGAAAAGTAACTTTAAAATTTGAATTAGCTTAAATTGCCAATTTTATAATTCGACGAAAACGACGAACAGTTACCAAATCAGTAACTCTTGTGTCTTTCACGGTTAGGGCGCCAGGTTTGAATCCGCCTATGGCAATTAATATATTGCATCTTTTTAAGTTAAAATTATCAAATAATTTGATTTTTATGTCATTTGGATTCATTAATTTTAATAAATATCAAAGATCCTATAACTGTAGTCTCCCCTCATGAGAAGAAATTTCTTAATCATGTTAATATTATTTTACTATGTGTTTTTTTTTTGTGGCTGTGATATATTTTTCTAACCCTCACTTAACCTACTATTTTCAACGATATGTGAAATGATTACAATTCGTATTTATTTTAAGTTATTACTCTTAAAAATCGAAAAAATATTCCTTATTTAAATAAAAAGTAGCTTAACCAGCATTATCCATACAAACAATTAAAATCATTCATTTTAAATATTTTTAAAGTATTTATTGTTGAATTAGATTTGATATAATAAAAGTATTCAACTATACAAAAGTAAATAATTTTACTTTGTAATTTATTAAATTTTTAACTCTATTTGTGTGTGCTACTACCAGTCTATAACATTCCAATTTTTTTTTGTAATATGTTGTATAATCATATATAATATATATAATCATGAATCTAAAAAAAAAATGATTTTTAGTTTCTCCTGAATTTAACAATGAATTTTTACAATCATAATCAAATTTTATAATACGCCCACAATTGAGTAGATTTTTTAAACAACTTTTTGATTGATGTTTTTAGTTAAAGTAAATCATTAAAATGAATTCAGATCTGTAAATTTCAATTGTAGAATCTTTTTAAATACCAATAGTTAATTAAAAATGATTACTATAATTTCTATTTAAGTGATCTATTACGATAAAAATGCAAAAAAAATCGAACTTTTCTGATAAATTTAATGTAAATAGTAATTATAAAATTTCCCGACTGCATATTAATCTTAACAATATCATTTTTTTCTATTTAATGATGTCGATTTCAATTTTGTAAGTTGAGCTAAAAGTTGTGGTAATAAATTCATTTTTTTTTGTTTATTATAAACTTTTACTTTAAAGGAAAATAAAGTAAGTTAAAAATGATTACTTTTAACATATTAGATATCAAAATTAATAATAATTTGAAAACAATTAATTATAAAAATTTTATATTATATTTTTAAATCTAAGAATTACTAATCTGGATATAATTAATGAAATAGAAGTTAATGATGCTTTTGTAATTATCTACAAATTTCTTAGAATTAAACACCATCTACAGATTTGTATCAAAGCGTTTCTTATGATAGTGATTTTAATCACTGTCAGATTAAATCTATACTGGACACAACTATCCCACGTCCCCCTGTGCCGCGATCCATTTGCTGGGTTTTTTTTCATACAATTGCCTGAAACTTTACTCTACTGATACAAAGTAAGACCATAAAATTTAAATACAATAAATAATCATAGTATTTCTTTTAAAATATTTAATTAAACTTAAAAATTAATCTTTTACTTCATTAATAGTCCATAACAAAAATATTAAAATTCTCAAAAAAACATATTTGTTATTCAAAAACTAAAAATAACCATCTAAAATATACTTTAGTGTTGTTGCAATCAAAAAATTTCTAGTCAAAAAAATTCTGTATACTTACTGTACAGCAAGATTCAATTTGACTGTCAAATATAAATTTGGTTACTTCTAAATATCACATACATAACTCTGAAGCGCTTATATTCGGAGTAAATAATATCTAAAACTTCGTTTGGTTGGTTTATTTGATGCTAAATATATAAATTTAGAAATGACCAATTTTATACCACTTAATATTAAAAATATTCTCAAAAAAGATTATTACGGTTATTTTGCATCACTAAAAGCAACATAGTTAATTATTAATCAATATTTGTCATGAGTGTATCTATTGTGGAATTTTTTAGGTACTAAATTGTCGTAAATACGTTTAATATAATTACCTTAGTTAAAATATTTGAATTAGTTAATAATTGAAACTGTATTTAAATATTAGTGAATAAATGTCTATTGTTGAAATGGGTCTTCTTTTTAATCATCCAAAGTATAAAATTATTTATTTATTACGTTATATGGATGTTACATCTCCTATATTATTTATTAAAGCTGTAGAGTATAAACAAGGTAAATTAATAAAGTTATTAAGTCATTGTAATAGTAACAAACATCCAAAAAAGTAGTTTAAAAAAACTTTGCAGTAACTATAGTGACAAAGAAAACAATGGCAACGACAAACAGCTACAATGTAGTTACTTAAATAAAAAAAATAAATGGCCTGTGAGTGAACTTTTACAATTTTATGATAAGGATTAACTGTAACTAATTCGAAAAATATTTTTGAATCATGCATTTAAAATTTTAAAATAAAATTATAAATAAATAATCTATTTATTAAATATGGTTAGTTAGAAATGTGTAAGGAGGAAAAGTTTTCAGACATTTTAAAGTGTCCAATTAAAATTCAATTTATTTATTAATTACAAAAATTTGATTATTATTGTATTCAGCATAAAATATTCAAATAGATAACATTTTTCATCTTACTTTGTCTCGTGGTCAAGGTTCTTTATTCTACTTGTTAAAAAAATAAAATAAATTCGACTCAGACGCGCCATATGCTTCAGGCGTTAGTTAGTTGTTTTTATTATATAGCTAGTTACCGTATTAAAATACTTTTGTATTCCCACTAGTATCTATTTATTTTTTATCGTTAAAGGACAAAAAAATATAAATATATAAAAAATTATAAAAAATCTTCAAATACTATAGTAAAAAATTTATATTTTTGTTCATTACCATAAATATTAAAAGTATAAATCATCCTTTATTTTTATATACATATTATGCTCATAAAAAAATGCATGACGATCAACAGTTATAATCTTGTCAATTACACAAAATTGATAAGTATTTCATTATTATGACTGCCTAATCATTGTAATTTAATGAGTTAAAAACCCTAACTTTATATAATATAATTCATGGATAATGTCATTGTACTGTTGCTAAAAACAGTTTAGCAACAATATAATTTTTTTTGTCGTAGTTTCTATTTATAGATTTAATAAAACGATATTAGATATTTACAGAGCAGTCTGTTTGTATGTAATGAAAATTGAATATGATTTTATTTGTTTGTATTACTATTATTATTATCATGATATTGTTATGTAAATAATAATCGACTTATTGATGTCGAGGGGCACAATGGAACTACTGTTAATAACTCACATGGGATATCCAGATCTTAAATGTTTTATTTATACTTCAATTGTAATTTAACTTTTCAGCCTGCAGCGTTAACTAATCTACGGCCATGGACTTCCGAAGAAGTACTTGGTGACATTACAGTTGCTCCAGATTGTTCGTCTCGAATTCCCAGAGATCCAAGTCCGTCGTTCACTGATCAAGTGGATCACCAATTACCATCGCCAGAAGAACAACAACACGTAATAGCACTCAAGTGAGTAATTGAGAATTTAAGATAGCATTATAATATATAACTAATTATTAAAACTTAACTATATAGATTCCCGCCACAAGTTGTTGAAGTTGACGTTTCCGGAAAAAGCTTTAATCGTATGAGTGCTCTAAGAAGATCTCTCCAAAACGTTGAGTACGAAACGTCTGTAAGAAGAAGAAAGAGTAGAAGACCTCGTGGAAAGAGAAGAAATACAATTGCCGGTACTGATCAAAAAGAGCTTGAAGCGGTCATTGGGTAAGAATCGAATTGTTATCATAAGTTATTGTTGTTGTTATTTTAAGATAATTAATGAACTTTTGTTTGCAGATCTTTGTCGGATAGCAACAAAGACTCAGATGATATGGTTTCGAGCAGCATGGCCGTTGTGGTGACTGAAAAGAAATCTAATCTTGATTTGCTTAAAGACTGGGGTAGAACGAGGCTGAAACACTTCAAGAACATGGAAACCTCGGGTATGACAGCCGTCAAACTTAGAGAAAAAGGTAAGCTAGGCTTGACGAGAAGAAAATGGGACAATAAAGATGAGCCCGTACATTCATCGTCAGGCAATTGGTCTGCTAGCTCAGAGAGCGGACAATCAACTTCAACTAGTCACGTACCTAGGTAACCAAAGAATTCAATTATTAATTTGTGACATTATTTGCGTGTTGTAGTGAAATTCAAGGAAAAGTGTGGGAATCCCAAATAATATCTTTTATGAAATTAAAATTCCTTAAGATAAAAACTTGATTATTATTGTAAATTGATTCTGGTTTAATATCAGTTTTATAAAAAAATAATTTTTAAATCGAATTTAAGAATTTTTTTTTTTTTAAGTGAAAAATGAAATCCAGTAATATAAAAGTACTGTCTATAGTTTTAACTTGATATGTGTAAATATTAAATTATGCTATTGTTATTTTTAGATCTAGTGTCAGCAGTGGTAGTGGTAGTACCAAGCCGACTTATCACGGCGGTAGTTCCATTACTAGTGATGAAGGTGAAACCGGATCTACTTACTCATGTGATACTGAGGGTTATTATACTTCTTTTCACTTGGACAGTGGTCTAAAAACACTGCGTGAAGAGGAGCTACCCCAACCTATGTCAGCTTTACATACGACGTCTGCACTTAGTCCTAGTTTCCAATCATCGTTAGCCGAAAGTGAATATGATATATTTGGCAGAGGCAGCACTTCAACTACAGCTAGTTCAGCTGGTACCGTTTGTACGTCTTTAATGATATCTCCTCCTAATGTACCTGAACGAGGAGATAGCAAACTTTCTGATAAAACCGATCTATATGGTGGTTCACTACCAGACCGTAATTTACACGCTAGTTGTCAACTTAAAGATCTAATGTACGACAAATCTAAAACGGCACCATCACGTTTAACTAAAGAGAATATTACTAGGTACAAAGAAGAGCGATTAATGATAGATGTCAAGCCTCGACCTAATCTAGAAACTTGCGGTGATTCGCCTGACAGCGGACACAATACGTGCAGCTCACCGGTTGACTCTATCACCAACCCATCGGTAGACTTAGAAATGTCCGAATGTTCTGACCTAGAAGGTATTGATCGTGTAGAAAGACTAAGGGTAAAGACGACAATCAACACCAGTCGTATACCGTCAATGTGCGTTATCACACCTCCTATGAGTGATGACGAAGTGAGTCTTAAAACATTGCGACAAACAGAAACTGAAGACTACGGGGAGTATGTAACCTTAGCACATATCATGCCAGAGGTAGCCACTGTTGTCGAAGCTACTACAAATATAAGAGATTTTGTACACCTAAATGAGTTACCGGCAGGTTCAATTGATAGAAAAAAGAGTCAAGGAGCTAGGGTTACATTAAACTCCGAAGGTAAAGTAATATATTCATCCGACAGTCTTAAACGAAGGAAAAAGATACATACAACTAACACTTTTGAACCGGGACCTTGTGTTAATGCCAATGTTGAAATGAGGCCAACAAATATCAACAATATTATTTCACAAGTAAATATCAAAATAATATTTATCATAAACAGAACTATTTTTCGCCTATATTGATTTTTAATAATTTTCATTCTTGATCAATTACATATAATATAATATGTGCGGGAGTTTAGTTGAATTTTATAATAAAATATGTTCAGTATATAGATTTTTCATTGTAATAAAAAATGTCTTGTTTTTATTTTTAGAAAATCGTACATTTTTCTTGTACAAAAGTATCGAGTTAAACTATAACTAAAAGATAAGCACAGCAATTTAACAATAGTATTTTAATTTTATTATTATTAATGCTGTTAAATATTATGATAATTCTTTCTCAATTCGTAATGCATTATCTCTTAGTAAAATTAAAAAGTTGAAATGCTTTAATATGTATTAATTTCTTAATGACTACTAAGTATTTGAAAAAAGTAGGATTCATTACCGATTTAACTCCAAATAAATAAAATAAATAGTATTTCGATACTTACTAATAGTTTTTTTATTGCCAGGCTATACCACGTACACCACTCAACGTTAGACCCGTTTCCAAGCAAATTTTACCTATACAAAAGACGGCAACGATTTCGAAAAGTAATAGTGGCTTTGCTCAAAATCCCCACACCAACAAACCAATAAATCCTGGACCAATTGCTCAACTCAAGCCATTGGTTCCTATACCATTGGCTTGTTCTCCCAGTGTAAGGCGTTCCAGAGCTGCCGTTCCTCTTATGCCGGTCACCGGTAATCCTACCGTAATTCGCCACTCACCTCGGGTAGTATTACCGGACAGTTTTAAGAATACGAATTGTGGAAAACCCGTTTCACCATTGATATCACCTACCCGACGTAGTCTTTCGCCCAAAGAGGTGGTCAAAGGGGCATATGTCCGAATGCAAGATCCTACGGATTGTCTTGAGACAAGTCTAGACGACACTATGAAGTCTGTGATAAAGCGCAGCGATAGCTATAGATTAGCAAACACTAATAGTCCACGGTTGACCAAGTCACCAAATATGTTGATAGCACTGCAAAAAGCCCGCAGCGAGAATGTTCAAGGTAATGATTTTGCCAACAGAACGGAAATATGGTAGATACAAATGCACCAAATACACCCAATTGTTTTTTTTCGCACATAGTATTTTTGTACATATTTGTTTGTATCATTAGTGGTTTTTTTAACTATTTAGTTTTGTATTTAGTGAATTAAAAATATTTTCTTCGCACTCAGAATGACAAACTATGTTGAAACACAACTGGGTAATAATATCATTTCATCGCGTATTACATTCTCATACCAACATTCTATGTACAGTCATCGTGACTAGTTTTTGGTGTTGGTAAAATTTACACTTTCATTTTGCCGGGATCGGTGTATAACTATTACATCAACTAACTATATATTTTAACTAAATAGCTACTATATATTATACTTATTCATAAAAATTTAAGAATCTTGATTACTTTTGAAAAATTTTGTATTTTAACATTGTTCCTCCTATATATGACTTTTGATACTTAATTAATTTGCTAAGTATTTCATATATATTATATTATTGTACTAATGAACTGTTGATGGTGTGAATTGCATGTTTTTTTGGGGAGGGAGGACTAATTATATTGCACTCGGATTAGTTTAAGTTTAACTAATAATGAGTAAATATATATGCGTTTATTGACTTTCCGCAGTCATTGATTATTTCAAAAATATTTTTTTCATCAATTAAATTTTAGACAATAATATTAAGTTTACAAAAGACAAACATTTTTTAAAAATGTACTTATTTATAAAAAAATTATAGATTTGCCAAAATAAAATGATTTCATAATTTTTCTATTTTACTACCCACGTTTTTAATTTGATTATATTACATTGTGTACAAAGCTAAATTATTTTTTGTGATTGTTATCGTATCATAATTCTCAGAAACCATTTTATTGTTTACGCATTATGCTCTACGCTTTTAATTTGTTAAAGATTACACACTAAATATAATCGAATGTGTGTGAACTACTAATAAAAACACGAGCTCGAATATAGTCCTTATAAAAAATTAATGCTATTAGTTTCAAAAACGTATTGTTCATCAGTTCTACGTGCCCATATAACACTCCGATTCCTCCACTGGTTCGAGAAATACAGCGTGCAAGCTAAAGAATGACATTATTTGTTAAATTCATACAATCTTGGTAAACCAATTTAAAAACATTTCATTAGTTTTAGTGTTTTTATTTCATTCCGACCGGTTTGTTTAAGTCAACTTTATTCGCATGAAAGGTAAATTTTTATTTAAATTATTCCTTCAAATTAAAAAAAAATATATTTCTCTTTCAGTCATAGATCACGTTTATAATAGTGAAAATAATTATTTTATTACTCATTATATTTTCAACAAATTTGTGTATTTATTGTAGATCTGTTTGTTGTAATATTATTGACAAGGTATTTTAGTATAAGTTTTTGTATCAATTGTAGAATAGTAAATATTATACTTAACAAATTGCACATTTTTAAATAATTAAATGGCATTAGTAATTTTTTTTATATTTATTTATAAAATTGTGTGCAATATAAAATATGACAGACTACTCAGACTGTGTAGAATACGTTGTAAATATTAATTGTATATAGACATATTTAATTTTTGTTTTAGATCTGCATGAACTATTACTAATTAAACGAATTTTATTTGTGTTATTATAAGATTTTTTATTTATTCATTGAACTTACTTTGAAAGTTAATTATAGTTTTATTAACTAATTTTATTTTTTGAAACTTATGCACTTTTTCACAACTACGGTTTGGTTATCATTTTTGTGTGAATATTATTTACATTTTTACACATACCTAAGTATTTTTGCTTATTCTGTTGTCCATCATAATTATTATTTGAAGCTTATACTGATCACACGTCGCTTTGGGTGTACACATTTTTTCTGTAAACATAATTTAAATGTGTACAGTAATTAATTCATGTACACTATTCGGTGGCTTAATAATGGTAATAGAAGATTTCATTAATTTAATTATAATAACAACTAGAGGTAAGATTAACCATTTTATCTAAAATTCTGTTCAAGGAAGTGGATATTGACACAATTATACTAATTTGACTAATTTAAATTTATATTCATTAATTAATCATTTCAAAAAACGAAAAAATTGCACGAAAGTTACGCTTTATCATATTGTTGAATATTGAATAATATTTTTTTTTGAAAATTAAAGAACTTTTTCAATTTCATAAAAAATATCGATAACACATTGTAGTTTTTTTGTTTTCTAATTGTCAATGTTCAAATTTCTTTGTTGGAATGTAATTCAAGGATTTTCCAGTTTAAATGTGTTAGTAAATTGTTAATTTTGTTTTTACAGGAAACTGCAATAAAACGCCCACCAAAAACAACAATAGTTGTGGTGCGGCCGACAGCAGTAACGTGTCGGCATCGACTCCAGTCAAAGCTAATGGTACGCCTAGTCTAATCGACATGAGCAGCAACAACCTTTCGCCTATCCAACGGAGCCCTACGACGGCCTATAACAAACCTTCGCCCGTTGGACTTCAGCCATCTAACAATGTGAGCAAACGATCTCCTCCGCCAGCTGTCACGGTACGTCCGGCGTCCGGTCGGTCAGCAATGGACCTATACGCGGCCATACACGAGTCCAAGAAGCGATTGTTGGGTGCCCAACAAGCTCCGGTATCTCAGCCGATACAAGGTACTCCTGTGCCGAAAATAGAAATCAAACGACCCGAACGACAATCTGACCGAGTGCACCGCAAAGAAAACAACCCGACAGCGGCTCGGTACGATTTCAAACGGTTACTGTTACAGGCCAACATGTCTAGTGGTCGTCGTACCGGAGGACAGTCGGCTGTAACGCGACTTCAACAGCCCCTGCCACCACCACCGCCACCGCCGCCATCCAAACCGACCGTCATTCAGTCCAACAGACTCGCCGCACCGCTTCAGTCTAGGATGTTACAAGTAACCAGTAGAGTTGGAAAAGTACCATCGTGGAGCAAGTCGAACGTTCTCTCCTCGACAATACAGGAAGATTGTCGTGAGGAAGAGGACGATTACGGCTCAGCCTTACCGAAGTCTTCAGCACTCGTTAAGCGCACACTAAAAGATTTCACAGACAATAATACTTACTCGATGAAGATTAGTTCACAACCCGTGATCCCGGGCACCGGCACTACTTTGGAAACGGCTCTTTGATGTCTTCCCGTTGCTTTAACTGTTTTTATTATTAAAAAAATTATAAAATTACTATTTTTACACATTACAATCTCATGTTCCTCGCGGAAACATTTTTTCTTGTTTCCACGACCGTTAAAATGGTTTTTTGTTCTGGAAAACAATTTATAATAATCTGCGTAGTAATTATATTATGACATATCGATAACTTTATTGACTTCGGATATATATTTTTTACTGACACTGGTATCTACATTTTTTATTACATCATATTTTCCTAAAAAATAAATTGTTATTTTTCGCATAATAATTGTGTTTGGTAACAAAATATTCTAAATAGTATCTATAATTAAATAAATAGTATTGTAAAAAATTAAGTCATAACTTAATATATGATTATCGTTTATCTAGTCTTCTTATTGTATTATATAATATGTAAAGTATTTAATAAAACAAACATTTAATAATTATAATTGTGTGAATGAACTTTTTTTAAAATATGAATATCTTTGTAAAAACATATCAATAAATCTATACAGCCCATGTTAAAAAAATAATTTCAATAACATCTTATAAATTTTGACCTCACGTAATTATTAAATTGTATGTTACAGTGGCTGTAGTTAATTTGATCCAAATATAAATAACATATGTAATTTGTACCAAAATTAAATTCAATTAATCATTCATGTTTTTATAAAAAAAGAATAATATAATCAAATAGGACTTACGGAAAAAGTATTTAGGAGATATGGAACCCCTAAAATTATATGTATACATTGATTTTTATATAATATATACTATTCCTTAATAACTGAAAAAATAAAATCTGTAAAAACTGAATTTTTGTTAATTGCTTTTCTTGCAATATTATATAAAAAAACGTTGATCTATATTATTGGGAAAAATATAGACAAAAAACTTATTTATTTATTTAAAACGTATATGATATAATTTACTTTTAGATAAAAGTCTTCTCTAGATCAAAGTAAAAAAAATATATAATTTTTAATTAAAAATATCAAATTTGTTTTTCTCATTGTTTATTTTTTTTATTAATTATTATTTTTATTTTTAATGCGTGTATCGGAAAAAAATTTTAATTATGCACACCAGAGATATTTTTCTTAATCTACAAAAAAAGACTAAATTGTATTGTATTTAATGTAATGTTAAATACATATTTATAAACATTTTATTTAAAAACTTGCATGGGAGTAACTAGAGGAGGTGCTGCAACACCCCTGCCCAATATTAATTCACTATAGTTATTTGAAAATAATTTTTTCTCACTTTATGAAAGATTTTTTTTTAGTAGTTAATAAAAACTTTTTTTTTATGAAATTTGAGACGTTTTTATGATTATTTTTATTATTAAAAATATGATAATAAAGCGAACAAAAAAATTATATTAATTTAATAGTTCACAAGTAAAAAAAAATTGTTTTTTTTACAATGGCCCAAATAAGTTATTATTTAGTTATTCGAGGGTATGGGATTTATGAGCATAAAAATTTCACCACTACCTGTATGTTTGCTTTTGGTTACGCTCATGTTGCTTTGTTCTTAAAATGTATAACATTCTTAAGTATTAATTCATAAATAGATATTACATAATTTGATAGAAAATAATATATGGTGTATTTAAAAGATATATGCATATGATTTTTAAATATTTCTGGGTACTAATTCAGCACACAGAATATTATATAAGAACCAAGACTTAACATTTAGGTTACCACAGGATTAATCATTTTTTCATATTAATTAAGCACAATAAATTTTTAATTGAATTATCATATATAGCTTCAAAAATATACAATAAATATAATACAAGTTGTACAAAAATATCATAAGGAGTATTTCAACAGAAGAATTTAAGCTACTAATCCTTTCCCATTTGATTGTCACTGTACCTTGATACTGCATTATAACCAGGCTGGGAAAATTAATTAATTAATTTCGAAATAAATTAAAATTAAAAATTAAATTGACAAAATCTCATTAACTCATTGAGTTAAGTTAAATTAATTAAGTACTGGTAGGTTTGCAATAATATCATATTCATATTAATAGAGAAAATATGTTTTTCTTTCCTACATTTTTTTTTATACAATAAAAAACACATCTCCACTCTCAAATTTGTACACTCATCTAAACATGAATCTTATGCTGTAAAAATAAAAATATTTCAAAGTAATGTAATTTTATACAATTATTATATAACCATGACTTATGCAATATCTTTAAAACTATATAAAATAATTTTCCTTTTCAAAAATTTACAATATCATATGCTCTATAATTTAAAAAAAACAATTTTTTTACTTCCTCTCATTTACCATTAAAATTTTGTAATTAAGAAAATAATCTATTATTAACAATTTTTGAATCAGTATTTTACACTTAGCAGTAAGAGTAATGAGGTTCATAAATGCTAAGAGATACAAATAGTCTTACAAATCACTTCAGACTTTATATTTTAGTGTTAATAACTTACAAGTACTAGTCAAATATAATACAAATTAAAGCTTTAATTATAAATACTATAAGCAGATAACTTATGAGTAACATGTCAAGTTTTTCTTAATTTTTTAAATAAAGGTAATAATAACAAGTAGAAAATCATATCAATAAAGTTTATTACTCAAATAGGATTTATACTAAAAAATATAAACAAGCATATATCAATAAGATTTGAGTGAATTATTAGGTTTGTAAAGTTTGTACTTACAATATTAATTTACAAATTATAGTTATGATTTTTAACATATTGTTTTAAGTAAAAAAACTAAGGGTTGTAGTTTGATATAGCAAAACATTTTTCATAATTTATTCATCATTAAATTCTTGTATAAAATCTTGTATAAATGCACAAAACTTTAAATCTGTAAAAAAAAAATCATAAAAATGAACACAGAGAACAAAATTAGTAAAAAAAAAATGAACAATAAATTAAAGTCTCTTTGAAGCTAAGAGATTATAAAAAAATAACTTTTTATTTCAGTTAATAAATCTAAAATTATTACAGGTTACTTTACATAAAATATTTTTCCTAAATTGTTACTTTAATGAACTCTTGACAACTGGATACCACATACATAACAGGGTGAAAAAGATTTTACCAACAACCCTAATAACTTTAATCAACTAGATATTTTATATTTCTTTTTTTTTTAATCAATTATTATATGCATGACCTACATTTTATAAATATTATAAGTAATTTATTTCAACTACATTATCATCATTCCCTTAGCGACTATTCTAACTATTTGGGTTGACTACCTTGCAATGATTAGAGAGAATTTTTATACTAGCCGAGGGAGACTATAAGGGACTAGGTGGGTGTCCAATTGTTGTGTATTTACTTATCTAGGAACCAATAGCATATAGCAAAGTTGAACATGATCCATAGTACCACACCATAACCCCTAATTACAAAAATAATATTTATCTTTGACTATTATAAAAATTATAATTAAAGATTTTGTTTCATAAAAATTGACAATAAATTTAAAAAATATAAAGAATAATGTCAAAATCAACATTTATATAACTTAATACTTAAATATGTCTCATTAAAAATAACACTAAAAATGAAACTTTACAATATTTTACACAAATATATTTCTGTATAACTTTTAAATTACACAATTAGAAAGAAAAACCTAGTTGAATGTCAATAAATATTACATATATCATATATGTAGTGTCAAAATTATTGACACTTTTTATTACACTATAACGTCTAGATTAAGCAATGATAAATCAGGCAATTATCTATAAAGTTATTTATTTTTTTACAGTACACTTATAGGAATTTTTTTTTTTTAAAGAATAATTAATACTTAAAAAACATAAATTGTTTTGTAAATGCCTTTTTATAAATTAATTAAAAAAATTATTTACAAACCAATCTAAATGCCATTATACTCATGTGATATCCAAAATATAAAAAACTTTTAATAATAAAACTAAAGAAAAAATAATAGAGCAGAATTTCAATGTTAACCATGAAATAAGTTACTATTAATAACATTATTATTCCTCATTCAACCGAGGTTAAATACCTAGGGTTAATTTTTCACCGAAGGTTAACCTGGGGTCCTCATTTAAAAGAAAAAAGGAAAAAACTGAACTCAAGACTTCATTTACTAAGACCTTTGCTTAAGTCTAATATTTCTTTGTCAAATAAAATTATGTTGTACAAAACATTACTCCAACCACTATGGTCTTATGACATAATAATTTGGGGACCAGCAAAAAGTTCTAACCAGAGAACAATCCAAAGTTTCCAAAACATCTGCTTAAGAATCATAACCGGGGCACCCTGGTACGTCACAAACATGGCCCTACATTCAGACCTCCATCTCAACACAATTAAAGAAATGGCAAGATTATATTATAAAAGATTCTGGACGAAACTTGAATCCAACCCCAACAGATTAATTCAAATGCTGAGCGCAAACGCCTTGCCTGGCAATCCAGTAAGGCGTCTTAAGAGAGAATGGTGCAGAGACCTATTATCTTTATAAATGATTTAATCTTGTTAACATTACGTAATTAAAACTCCTAATTATTGTACAAACTACTATACCATTATATATTATTATTATTGTTAATATTATGTAATAAAACTAAATATAAATATTCAATAGCAGGCGACTCCAATGGGAGCGACCATACAGGCTACTAATGTTAAGTATTTTATATATGTATATTTTCTAAACTATTTACTTATTGTAAATTAAAAAAAAACATGAAGTTGAATACTTAAAAACAAGTTAAAATCAAAATGAAAATAAAAAAGATTTATATAGGTAAATAAACTAATTTTACCTAAATAGAACAAATTTATAAAGAAAATTACGAACATTTTTAATAATATAGAATAATTATATTTAATCAAATAAAATAATAAATAAAATGAATTTTCATACTTTTATGCTAAATTCTTTATTTAATTATTGAGCTTGTTTGCCTGGAGGGGTGTTAACCATTATAGGTGGAGGTGGTCTCATAGTAGATGGCATTGGTGGCATCATAGGAGGTGCGCCCATAGGCATTTGATTCATTGGTGGTCTCATCATAGGTGGCATGGGCATCATTGGTGGAGCACCCATTGGCATTTGACCAGGAGGCATCATAGCTCCTGGAGGCAGAGCCATTTGTGGAGCAGCAGGACCCATGTTAGGTGGAGGTATACAAACACCTTTTATTCCAATTTTACCAGCTTTATAAGCAGCAGTTGTTGCATCAATTAGATTTTGTGCTTGCTCTTCCATCCATTTTTGATAGTAAAATTTAACATTGTCTTTATGTTTGCGCCCTTGGCAATGTGTTTTGCGTACTGATGGGGAGTCATGTGTAAGGTATGTATCACAATAATCACAATAATATTTTGGCATGTCTAAAAATGTATAAGATATCAGTTCATAAGCTTATATATTATTAATATATTCAAGTACTAATAAATTTATCAGAATATTAAGAACTTAATAAAACTCTTAATATCATAAAATTTAAATAAATGAGTCCTATAAATAATTTTTAAAATATATTGGATATCAAATTAGAATATAAGGGTAAATAATAAGTTAAAATATAAGCTAGAAGTGGAAAATATTTATAATAAAATACTACATCTGTAATTAATTACAAAGTGAGCAAAACCAACAATAATTATGGAGTACTAAGAAATTAAGGTTTATAGTTAAATACTCCAACAAAGAATAAAAAGAATTACAAAAATTGTAAGTAAAAAAAAATGTAAAATTATTAAATATAAATTTTTATAATGCCATACATATAATAGCTGACAACGCTAACACTGACTTTAGTTAATACTACTGTATTTTACAGTAATTTTGAAAATTCAAACCTTAAAATTACTAAAAAATTATAAACTAATCACATTTGATATAAATCAATGATATATATATATATATATATATCTTTCTCAATAGGAAAATGCTTTAGAATCATTTATCAAGAGAAAAAAAAATTGTATTCAATAAATTCAATAAGCTATATAATGACAAGTTGAACAAAACGAAAAATGATGAGTTTTAAAAATACAACATACCTTAGAATGATCAATGTACCTTAAAAAAACTCTAATTAAAAGAAAAATTTATATTAAACCACCAAAAAGTTGTCAATATAACTCAATTGATATGCCTCGAATTTTATATAAACAGCACTGTAAACGCCGAGACTAGTGATAAGCTATCAAAAAAGTAGTGTAGCCAACTAAAAATGTAAATTTTGTTTTATAAATTAATAATATAATTTTACGTAATTATGTAATAGATACATATAATTATAATTATAAGTTATATATGATGAAAAATTCATATAGATTCCGTTAAATAAAATTAAAAATATTATTAATTTAAAAAACTATAAAATATTAAATTCAAAAGCCACAAAAAAATTACTGAAAAGTCACGGATACATATTTTGGAAACATTGATAATGGTAACATTGTTTCTGAAATACGTATCCGCAACTTTTCAGTAATTTTTTTGTCTTTTGAAAATAATATTTTATAGTTTTTTAAATTAATAATATTTTAAATTTTATATAATTAATTAGCCACAAGTGATCAATTCTTATTATAGATTGCAATCAGTTTTTTACAATTTCATATCAATGATTACTCTAAATATTTAAACAAATTTTCCTTGGCTTATTTTCAGATATATTTCTAATACACAGACAACCATAACTAAAAATAAAAATATTTTAAATCAGCTTTATCTTTATTTTAAAATAACTTACCATAGCTTTATTAATAAGCAAAATAAATATGAAGGAAACTTTTTTTTAGAAGCTACATGTTAGATTGAGCTATTATTGAGAATCTCTTACTAATAATTAACCCTACAATTTTTTTAAGGAATAATAGTAATCTTGTTTTTAGAAAGATTCCTAAAGGTATAAAGACTCTTTATAGATGGAAATTATAAGTTGTTTAAAAGTGCGAGATTTATGTTTAAAAATGTATTTAAACGATAATTATAGATAGAATGGTTACACAAGACTTGTGTCCTATCAAAATAACATATAAAACTCACTGCACTATAGCGCAATCTAGTTCATAACAGATTTATAGATAGTTCGTCATGATGGAAACTTCGGGGAACGCGTAAAATAACTGAAAATATTACAATCGAACTCATCAGTATTTTGATCGAAAAGTAAATTGAACGAACTGTATTTTTGTTGAACAGTATTTTAAACATATTGTATTTTTGATCAACAGTATTATAATCAAGGATGGAATTAATATAACGTATAGCTGGGGCTCCGCTTCAGTCCTGAGACTACGACCCCACGCGCCTTCTCCGTATAAACCTTATTGGGTCGTCTTTATAAGTAGTCCACTAAATCCGGTAGAAGTATTTGGCTACGCCGAGCATGATAAGTGTTTTAAAGGAAAAATTTACATCAGAATAAGTGTAACAAAAATATAATTATTAAAATCAGAAAAATTCAAAAAGAGAAAATAGTAAAGTATATTGAATATAAGGTTGACGTTTGTTTACTGAGGTATTCACCATGGTGAATTTAGCTTTTAGGCCAGCTCGAATTGCTGGACTAAAAGCTAAAATACCACTCCGCCTCTCACTGTTATGTGTTCCTATTGTGCGTTTGAGTAATAGCCTCATAATACATGTATACAAAAATATACATGTATTGGTTTATTGTGTTATTTATAGATTTTATTTATTAAAAATTAAGTTTTTGTATTTTATTTACCCACTTGTTTGTTAAGTACTATTATAATATGAATTGTACTAGTATTAATAATTAAATTACATTATAATACAGAGTGTTCAGTAACAGGTCAATTGTTATAAACAATAGAAACCCGTTTCCTTACTTACTGAAGAACTATATATATAATTATTATATAAAATTATTATTAGAAAGTGTTAATTTATAATTAGAATCACGTAGAGAACAAGTACTAATTTTATTCAAAAAATGATTTTACATAAGATATTAATAAAAATGTGAATGCACATACAAAATTGTCGTTTGTCTTTACTCTAAACATATTGGAAGCACACAGTCAATTTAGAAAATCATACTATTATTTTTTATTGGAAGAAAAAATATAAACAACGACGGTAGAATAATCTGAAGAAACTAGCTCAAACAAAATTAAAGTAAGTACTTTTTAAACACGTAACTACTGATTGAAATTGAGTAGTTTACTCAATTTCAATCAGTAGTACTTTCTTAGGTATTAGCATATTTTGAGAGATCAAAAGGGGCTATTACCTCGGACAAATTTTAAGGTAATGAAATTATTAGATAAAAAGTCCGTGATCCTTGTCTTTCTGCATTTTTAAGAAATTTTCGTTTAAATATCTGAAAAAATTCTTAACAATGTATAAAATTAACGATGGCGTTTATTACGTAACGTTTATCAAATAGGCACGACGTGTAATGTCTTAAATCTAGCTTCAATACCGTCCATAGAAAGCGTCTTATTTTCCCCGGTCCTGCTGGCTTACCTGGATTGGTCACTAAATGTTATGACTGAAACTGTTGCACAACAATTTCATTGAGACCGTCAATCGAATGATAAAATAATATTATTCTATTCTAATCTATGTCTATAATATTTCCGTCAAAATAATTATTTATAGAATTTCGATTTTGTCGCTGTCGTTTGTCAATAATAGTGAGAAAAAAGGAACGATAAATTTTTAATTTTGCATAAAAATATTCCCACAAAAACACTATTAATGATTAATTATAATATATAATTTGCTAAAAAATTTTTTAGGGGAACTTAAATTTCTAAGTCTCGACAAACAAGTCGCCACTGCTAAAATAAGTTAAAAAGAAACCCAACACAGGGGGGTCGCGGCAAAGTGGTGACGAGGCATAGTTGAGTCAAGTATAATGATATCTGACAGTGATTAAAATCACTACCATAAAAAACGCTTCGATGCAAATGTTTAGATAGTGTTTAATTTTAAAAAATTGGTAGATTATTACAAAAGTTACATGATCTGCAATTTCCTTAATTATATCCTGATTAAGATAAAGTATGTCGAAGAAAGAGGGATATAAATATTATTTCTCATCAAAAAATTGTATTGATCCATACACTTTTCAATAAGTTAAAGTATATAAAGTTAAAAATGTAAAAAATAAAATCCAGAATTTTCACACAAAAATAGCATTTGGTAACTATTTTCACCGTGAAGACAAAATATAATCCGAAATTTTTTTTTTTTCATAATAAAGTGTATTACATTAGTTTTAATTTAAGATATATATATAAGTGTCAGACTTTCCGGAACACTTTCTGAAAAAGTAAATTTTTTGTGAAAAAGTTGTCATTTTAAATCCCCCCCTGTGGGCAGATAAAGGGTCATATTTATAAAAAAAATATAACAAATGATAAGTTAAGATATCATGCATCTATAAAAAAAAATTATATTGATTTGGTTATTTTTAAAAAAGTTATGGCAGTTTTAAGTAAAAAAAATTGAAAAAATGTTGAAAATTAGAAATTTTTAAATTTGTAATTTTTTGGAGATTTCCTCCATTTACAGGGAACAAGGGAAATTTTTTCAATTTTTGAGGGTAATGTCTTTGACTAGATACGATTTGTGATCTTTTGATGTATCGTTGGAAGAATTCGGTTTGGCGAGACCTGAGAAAAAGTGGTAACAGACACAAAAAAAAACACATCTCAGTAAAACCAATATTTTCTCAGCTTCGTATCAAAGCTAAAAAAAGTGTTAGGAACATAATAATATAATATCACCGAACAGTAAAATCTTAAATAGTACTGTATGTTTAGGTTTTCATTAATTAATTTATAGATACCTATTTTAAAGTGTATTGACCATAATAGCCTATGAATTGTCGCAGTAATATTATAATTAAGTATTAGTTTTACTACTATTGTATATAATTATTATAAAATTTTGTCAAAAAATCTGACTGATTAATGTTGTAATATCATTGGATGTCTATAATGTACAGATGTAAAATTTTACATTAACAGTATTTGGTAACAATTCATTAAGTTTAACTTTTGAATTCATTCTTCTATATATCTTGACCATATATTTATACCCCATTAATTACTTTATTAGATATAGGTAAATTCTATTATTGTTTATATAGAGAAAAAACTGGTTCATTAGATAATTATGATAACTACTACAAAAAAATTCAGCACAGTTGGGAGGCGGCTAATTGGGACAAATATAGATGATATCTATATTTCTATATTTTATATAAGTATATTATACATGCATAGGGGAAATTTCGTAATATTTTTGGAGGACATATTTAATCAATTTCCCCTTTCTAAAAAATATTTTTACTGAATTTTAGGAGGAGATTTGAATTAAATTAATTTTATTAGGATAAAATTTGAGGACCTAAACTCATCAAAAACCTCTAATTTGCGCTTTTACGAGGTACATTGTATACGTAACTACACAGGTTACACTGGTCAATAACGATTTCATCACAAATAAGTTCTCGATAAGAATAATATAGAATATAGAATTAATTATTTTAAAAATTTAGGTTATTTACTTGATACTAAAAAAATTGGTGGTTTTACATATAGACTTCATGTCTTAAGATTTTTTGTTCTTATCTCTTAATTTGTAATTTTTTAATTGGTAAAAACAAGTGCTAGGAATAAATTATTAAGGAAGTTAATAAATTAATACTCAAAAATAACTATAATCAATATTATCCAACAAATTTAATCATCATATTTCAAAACAAAAATAGATAATATCCGAAAAAATAAGGTCAGCAAATATTTTTATGATTATATTATTTTTTTTTATACATTTTTTTATGAGTTCAACCAAAATACTTTTCAGATTAATTTTATACGGTTTAAATAAGGTTAGGTTAAATTACTTTTAGGCTGAAATATTTTTGAATAAAATCATGTCAACTGTCCTATAGCCCGCGATTATATATAGAATTCCAGAAGAACTCTTTTAAATAATAATAATGGAAACATGTTTTGAATCCTTTTTTAGTATGTAATTCAGTTAATTTATTTTAAAAAATAAGAAATTACGAATTTCAATATAAATGTATTTAATTTTATAAAATTAATTTTACTTTTACAATAATTTTTACTATTATCAATACATAGGTGATCGATTCCAAATATATTACATAGGCGTTTGTACACTTTTTTATTTTTATTTGTTTAGTTTTATTAAATATTTAGAACAAAAATAAATGATAATAACTTATAAATTTCCAGCTCTTGATTTATGCGGTATTATTTTTAATTATTGTCTCTGAAATAACAAAGTCATTTTATTTTAAGTATTGTTATCAATTCTATGTAGATAACCGTGATTTTACAGATAAGAATATATAACTGTTGTTATTACAGGCTTAAAATTAAATTGAATTAATTTAAAAGCAAACTTATGTAAATAGTGTATATTGAAAATAATTTCTATTTAAAAAAAAAAAAAATACTATATCTATAAAATAATTTTATCATGCTGTCAATATGTGATAAAAACTGTATAAATGATAAGACAAAAAAAAACGTTAATAAGACATGAACTTTTCTTTTTAACTCTCACATAAATATTAATCCTTATAAGGAAAAAACTTCTTTGTTAAATTCAAAAAACAATTCTTTGGGTGTCCATTATATTAAAATTAATTACTATTGTTATACATAATGTATTTAATATTTTAATTAATATTTTTTTATTGACGCCAATTATATAAAAATTAAAAATATAATGAATGACAATAATGATAAACCATTATTTATTAGTTCGTTCAATATTAAGAAAAGTACACCAACAGAAAAAAGGAATCAAAGGAATATCATAAAAACAAAGAAAACAACAGGAAGTATAAATGGAAAATCAAATTTAAATGATTATTCAACAAAAAATGACAGTTTAAAGAAAAATGTTGAAAATATTTTTCCTGCAAAATCGGAGTTACTTGATACAAATGATACATTAAGTAATAATAATAATAATTGTTCTAAAATAAACTATTAAGGGAAATTTATTTTACTTTAGATTCAAGTAAACTTGAATATTCAGAATATAAAATGTAAGTTAATTATATGTATTTAACTTTATTTTCATTAAATTTTAATATTTTACTGCTATAACAAAAAAAAACTTGGAAATTTTTTTATTTATTATTATGTTTAGATTATTAATTTTTTCAAAAAAATAAAAGTTATTAATGTTAAAAGATTGACTTATTAAAAATGTTGATTAGTCACATTTATTTTTAAATTTATATATTTTTTAATATTAAAAACAGATGTGTGAATATTTTGAATAGTTAAAATTATTTTGTAGCCTTTAGAGCAGAGCTGGATATAAGACTTTGAGGACCATAAAAAAATAATTAAAATGGACCTTTTTCACAACTAAATGTGACTCTTCTTCTTTTTTGTCACCTTAATCCCAACTACTTGGGGTTGGCCATCCTTATCATAAACTTCCACTTGACATGATCACCCACATCTATGCTCACATTAGCCGTTCTTACAACTAAATGTAACTAATTATGAAATATATCATTAAATACTAAAAATTTTAAGTTTAATTTTTAAACCTGTCAACCCTTCTTTTAAATGATAGGGGGGTATTTTTATCATTAATTATATAATGTCAAGCTCAATAAATGTTTTGAAACATTTTTTAATGTAATATGAATGCTTTTTGAAAAAAATGCCTAGTATAAATACATTCAAATTTTAGCAAATGAATAAAGGTGCATTCATTTTTTAGTAGAAGTTCCAAATACATGTATAATATTTAATCTAACCCAATTAATATAACCCTATTATATTTGTATTATTATTAAAATTTGTTTTGTTTTGAATTTATTTAGGGTTAAAAAAATTGCTAGACAAATAATAAAGAAAAATCACAGTCATAACAAGGTTAGTATTCAGTAAATACTTTAATTATTTTTTTTATCTATGCATTATAGTTTATAAATATTTGTTAATTATCAAACAAAAAATGTTTATGGGTCAGCAAATTAATTTAGTTTATTATGTACTACTGATATTTAAAATATAGAATGAGAGAGCGAAGCACATGAAAAACTTTGTAAGTTAAAAGAGTAATAAATTATTTTTAAATTCAAAATGTTTTATCTACAGAGACATTATCAGAAAAATTAAAAAAACAAAAATTGTTGTTTTTAAGTAATTTCATTTAGTTTCTTTGTTACATAGATTAATAATATATAGTAAAGAAACTATTATTGCACAGCTTTGTCAATTTTATTTTGTACATCTTAGATGGGTTTTTATTGATTTTTTAAGAGACACTGTGGCAGTGTTGATGTTAGTTTTAATATATGTCAAAATATACTTTAAATTAGTATTAAAATTGAACTTTTTATATTGAAGTTATGTTGATACAACGACATCTGTCATTTCATCATTTGATGAATCTAAAAAAAATGCATATGATTTTATTGTATCTATTGTTTCTTCAAAGTATTTATTAACATACTTTTTATGTAAAGTAGATTGATCTGGTATGATTTTATTAGTCTATTTCTTCAAAAATAGTTAAAGTGACAGCTGTGACCATTTAAAAAAACTGTATATGTTCTATTAATTGTGCATTGCAGTTATTAGAGACTAAGTGGTAGATTTTTTTGTTGATTTATTTTTTCTATACTTATAATATTTTTTCATCTCGTACTACATGCAGATTGACAGTTAATTTTTTTTAGCATAAACTTATCCATCACTCATTTTACTAAAAATTATTGTATTGTATAAAAATATTCTTGCAAAATCCAGATAAATCTGCGCAAGCAACTAGCCAATGAAGTTTTATACTTAAGCATTTTAATAAACAATCATCAACAAAATGCATACAATAATTATCACACTAACACAAATCTATTTTAATAAATATTAGAGTAATTTTTCAATACTATTTAACTATTTAACTATGTTGAAATCAACCAAAATAATTTCAACTGTAACAATATAGTTTATGAAGAGCCAATTTTAATTAATCAAAATTTTTTTGCTATCAGAAAAAAATTATAAAATTTATAAATAGAAATATTAAATAATGACTCATTGCTTAAAAATGTTATACTATATGTTTTAGTTCAAAAATTAACCAATTGTATATTTGTATAATTATATGAATTAAAAATCATATCTTTTTAATATTTTTTACTTTTACATTACTTTTATCAAATATATTTGTTTTAGAAAACAAAAATCGCAAAAAATATTTTTGATGGATCTGCCAATAAAAATAATCATGTAAATTTGAATATTGTGAAGCAAAAATGTGAGAAATGTTTTAAAATTTTTAAAGATCAAGATGGTCTTCAAAAACACATTAATTTTGCACACTCCGAGGAAAAACCTTATAAATGCATATTATGTAATTCGTCATTTAAAAATGAATTTTCTCTAAAGGCTCATAAAAAAATACACTTTGGGGAAAATTTGTATGAATGTGAGTTTTGCTTAAAGAAATTTGTGCATAAATCTAAATTAACTATACATCTTAGAACACATAACAATGAACGACCATTTGAATGTAGCCTTTGTGATAAAAAATTTAAAACCAATGGAAACTTAACATATCATACACAATTACATACTGAAGAAAGATCTTATGAGTGTGAAACTTGTGGTGTTTTATTTAGACAGTCTCTTCATCTAACTAATCACATCCGAATTCATACAGGTGAAAAACCATTTACATGTGATATTTGTAAAATGGCTTTCAATCAATCTCATGTTCTAGTTACTCACAAATTGAGAGCACATAAAGTTAAATTAATAAAAAAATAAATTTAAATGTTTGTATAATAAAATACACTTTAATAAAGACTTATAAATATGTAAGTTTTGCTTAAATAAATTTGTATAAATATACAACTTAAGCAAATATGTTTTAATTATTTAAATGAAGAATTTGCCAATAAAATAACCCAACNTAAGTAAATAAATTTGTATAAATATACAACTTAAGCAAATATGTTTTAATTATTTAAATGAAGAATTTGCCAATAAAATAACCCAACTCTGTTTTGACAAGTATTTAGTATTACCTTCTAAGGAAAAGCCAATCTGGAATTATCCAGTCTGTAAATGAAAATAATCTGAAAGTTGTCAGTTTAGCAAAGTAAATTAAAACTTAAGCAAATATGTTTTAATTATTTAAGATTTTTAAAGATATAGACACTCAATTAAAATCACATTGAATTTACCACCCACTCTATCAAAAAGCCTTTAAATACAAATTATGCAATGTTTTGCTTAAAAATTTCTCTAGAGGCTTATCAAAAAATACTTTTTGGAGAGAATTTGTATGAATGTGAGTTTTGCTTAAAGAAAAGTTTACATAAATCCAAATTATCTTACATATTAGAACACATAACAATGAACGACCATTTGAATGTAACATTTGTAATAATAAATTTAAAACCAATGGAAATTTGACTGTGCACAATTACATACTGAAAATAGATTTTATTAATTTAAAATGTATGGCGCTTTAAATAGACAGTCTCTTCATTTACCAAGTACATCACATTAAAAAAAGCATAAAATTAACAAGTGTTTTATAAATGACTGAAAAATGCACCTATTCATAAAAACTATTTAGAATACTTCATAAAAATATGTATTTGAACTTTGTGATGTGAAATAGATATTTCAAGTAATAATAACCTAATAGTAACTAAAAAGTAAATTATTAGTGGGAATTTTTTTTTATTTATACAAGCAAGATTGATTATTCTGAATATTAATATTAATATCTTACTCAGTAATTAATTAAGCAAAATGATAAAAACATATGGTTTTCGAAATTAACGCACAATTCCTATCACGAACAACTACGTTCAAACAGAACATAAGTATTTGCTACATACGCTCACATGACAGTCTAAAAAACCTACGTGACAAAAGTATGAGAAAAACAAACAGTTTTAATTTTAGCTTCTCTTTTCCTTTTTTTGTTTTTGAACCGAACAAAGTATGATACAGTCACATTTTTCAGTGACCTCGCGCATTAACATTATCTCATATTTCCTGAATAGATATTTTTATTTCTTTAAAAATTTCAAATTCATTTTTTTTTTCCAGTTAAAATTAAAAAATAATTCTGAAAACAGTAGCCATTTTTTTTTTGGGTAACAGTTTTTTTTACTGTCTCTAAAATATATTTATATCATACATTTATTTTTATCGTGGAGAGAGGGTTCTATCCCTCATATCGACCCGTTAGAATACCCACATATACAATACAATTTACTTGAATAATATTTACTACTAATACTACTTTAGTACTAATTATAGAATGATAATCAATAAAACAACTTTTGTAAATGCAAAGTATATTAAACGAAGATGTTTGTCCATTATGAAAATTTATATAATTTGGAAAGAGTGGAATCAGTATGAGCTTAAGACAAGATGATCAACGGGATTCCAATTTTATAATATTTAAAATATCAAAATTATTTATGAATTTATCTTATAATAAAATGTCATTAAAACTAGTTTTTTGATAGTTTTGTATATTTTTTGTCTTTTCCTTGTTTGATATTAGCGTCGTTAGATCTTTTTACAAAAAATTTAAATATATTATTAAACAAATTTAATCATAGCATTAGGGACGCCTTTTTTTGTGAATCACATAACCAACAAATAAATCAGATCATCTTCGTTGTACAGTTATTACTATTTCATCTAGAAATATGAAATATTAATAATTTATAAAAATTATAATTAATATAAATATTTGCATTGCTATTTTTTTTTATTTGTGTGAGCAAAAAAAACGTCATTGAAGATACCAAATTTGTGTACCCCAGACGGCATAATTACTAAAGGCGACCCTGATTGTGATAGCAAATAAAGAGTTTACATTAAAATCTTAGGAATTTAAAGATGTTATAATTGAATCTTCCAAATCCAAAATTAAACTGTGTAAGTTGTTACTGATAGATTTATTAAATGACCGTTTGATTGTAAGTTTATGTGTTTATAATAAGTTAATCATATGTTTAACGGATTGGATAATATATATATTCCTCCGTTTTACGTTTATTTTTAATTTAGGGTCTTATAAAATACATAGATTAATAATACTCGAATGGTTACTCATTGAAAACTCTAAATATATTTTTATATTTATTAATACAATATATATATATATATTATAATACTTATACTACGAACCGGTAACATCGATATTTATTATAATAAAAAATTAAATTATATAATAATTATTAAAACTTATAAGCAATTAATATTCTTTAATATAAATAAAATTATTTTGTTGAATATAAATTTATTTTTTATTTAAACAAATTTTAATACAATAATAATTGGTAGTAAGAAAAAGGAATAGGTTCCAACATTTCATTCCCACTAATGTAGTGTCATTAATTTTATAAAATATGGTAAAGTTAATGGAAATAATTAACTTAAGTTAAGTATAAATAATGCCTATAATTTAATAGTTAAAAGTTACCAAATTGTACATTTAACTAGCAAAGTTAAAACATAAGTTGAAATTTTATTAAACTTAACTAGTTTATAAATAGTTAATTACATTTAAAATTATTTTTTCAGCTAAAATCTCTTAAAATAATGTTTTATTTGTCCGTAATGCAAGGGAAAGCTAAGAATCGATTTTTAACTTTTAAACTTGAATAGAAAGAAAATATTAAAGATTTAAAAAAATTGTTATTCGTTTTGCACATTTTGGTGTTGGTTGCATTGTTTTATCATTAAAATTAGTTATTAAAAATAAATCAGAAAAAAACACATACATTTTTTAAAAATTCAAAAAAGTATATTTATTGTTATATAAATATAATATTTGGGATAGAGGAAGATTCAATGTTTTTAAATTAAATCACGTACGCAGAATATAATGACATACATTTTTTATGAAATTTTAAATTTAGCTTAACTGTTATTTTAACTAATTAACTGAAAAAAGCTACTTATTTCAACAGAAAATTAAAAGTTAAAAAGTTTATTAGAAAAACAATTAGTTAAGTTGAAAAGTTAAAAAAAAAATTACTTTAATTTTGCTAGTTAATACCCAACAATGAATTTTATATAATAAATAACTAAATAATATCATTATGTTTAAAATTTTTTATTTTTTGGACAGGCTTAAGATAAACCAGAAGGGCCTTTAGACTTTCATAAACAGTAGTCTTCGGGTTATAGTTCTTACTTTAATTCAATTGAACAAATAGTTTACTTTGTAATTGTAAAAATAGGGAAAAAAATAAACTATTTATTAATGACTCATTTTATTATTAATAATATAAATGATGCTGAGTAAACTAATGTTGATAGAATTTTCATGGATGATATATTTTCTAAGATACGTCGATTAAAAATTAAAAAGCAATATCCTTAATGGTAACGTTAATAATAATAATAAAAAAAATAGCCTCACATGCGCTCAATGAGCACACTGTGGTGAATTTAGTGTGCGATGTTTTAATCTACACTTAAACATGTAATACAGTGTTGAATCCAAATATAGTTCTGGGCTTCAGTCCTTCTTGCATTTTGATATCCTCGTGACAATTTCAGGGTGGCAATAATAATATCAATGTTTTTGAACTTTGAGGCGATGTTTAATATTAAAATCATTTTTTTTTTTGCTTTGATGCCAAGTTGAGAAGATATTAATGTTGTGATGGCGAGCGTTTTTTAAATCTCTCCATAATAATTCTCAGCTCTCACTAGAGATGAGAATTTAGATTAATGATAAATACGTCAAAAGAGTTCAATTTTAATCTAGTTGAACCTCAATTACCGAAAATTGGGAAAAAAACTCAATCTTAGTAATATAGAAAAATTTTACAATAATTATACTAGTCAAGTATACATTAAAATATAAATATATGATAAAACTCATAATTTTTAGTTTAAAAGTTTGTAAAAACTGAAAATTTTATGTCATTAACCCAACCGTTATTACTATTTTAATTGTTTAAATAAAATATATTGCTATCAAATTTTGTACTCATAATAAACTAAGTTAAATCATCATTTTTGTTTTTTTAAATTTTTAACCTATTTTAATAGGTTCTATTAGAGATCTCAAACTTTTCTTTTATAAGGGTTCTAATTAAAACAAATTAGCTAATTTTTTAATAAACTATTTGAGTTTCTTGGTTCTTTATTTTGATTATTATATTTTATTTGATTTTTCTTGTTAAGTTTTAATAACACAGGTATTTAGATTTCCATTTAAATTTTTGTACTTCTATTGATGGGTTAAATATCATAAAATATGATATTACGTCAATTAAATCCTTCTTTCATTGAAACTGACTGGTGTCTAAAAATTTATTTTGTTATATTTTTGACCCTAGTTATGGGTCATACAAAACTAATACTGTAAATGCTATAAATATTACATCGAAAATCGATTAAATCAAATACTAAACACATATTTTTAACCGTTTACCTTTTATTAAAATAACTTGTAACGTTGTACAGACAAGAAAATATTGAATAAACAAATATGAATTCACTTGAAAATTTCAATTCAGTTTTTTTTGCAAAATAGATTTAAAGTAAATTGACTAAGCTTGCGTATAAATATAGTAAAATAAACATGTTTAAAAGTTTAGTTTCAATTCAACATCTAAAAAACATACAAATACAACACGATTAATAGTCCATCTCCAAACAAATTTAATTCAGTTCAATTGAGGGTGAACTTCGGTCACAATATTTAATATTGTAACCAATTATTACGAAGCAAATAAATAATATAGTTTCTATTGAATATAATTATATATAATATTATTATGTTTATATATCGTAGCTTTTTCATTTTTTTACCGATATATTATAATTTTTAATAACTTGATGTTGATAAGGATTATATATTGGAATTAGCATAATTGGTATTTCTAAAAATAATGTATAGCGATAAAGAAACTTAATATATTGTATTTAATTTATTTATTTTACTAATAGAATTGTTATAATAAATAATTATAAATATTAATTTTTTTTTTGTCAAATCTAGCGTTAAACTAAACTATACATCCGCATTTTCACGAGAGAGATATATAGTAAAGATATATTTTAGTGGTGTTTGTAAAAAATTTCTCATGTTCTCAGGGCTTCGTCCTAAGAGGAGATCCTAAGACAAAATTCTGAGAACGCCACTGCTACTGTATATTGTTCCATTCAAATAAACAGGAGGTTATGGTAAAAGTGTTTTATAATTTTTACGCTAAGAAAATTTCAACTTGATAAGTTATATTATTTTGGTAAAACTACTTACAAATATTGTAATTATTAAAATGTAATTTTACTTTAAATTAATATTTTTAATATGTTTTGTTGTATTATCGTTAGTAAGTTTATTTTAAATAGCTTATCTTGAATTTAAATTTATTCAGCTGCATTATAATGTCATATAATGATTACAACTTAAATGATAAACGTGTTTGATTGAGTACATGTACAAGAATGTCGACTATCCATTTGAGCTACATAAAATGTATATTTTTACACTAAAATTACTTTTGGGGTAACAAGTGAATATATTCAATTTTGTGAGTCAACTTAATGTTTTTACTAGTCCCGCTGTGATCAACATTCAATAATATAATATGTGTCAGTAAAAATTATTGATAACAAATTTATTTGAATATAACATTTATTAAAAATATATTGGCTCGAGGCTTATTTTTTTGTTTAATAAAAATTTTTAAGGAAATTAAATTTTCCCAAAGTTAAAATTAAGGTATTCTCGATTATAATTTTTTTGGATTTCCAAGGGGTAATATTATATTTTTAGATTTAAAATATTATTACTATGATAGTATTACATAATATCAATGATAATATTATTTATAAAGATAAAATAGTTAAGTCAATTTTTGTTACATGAGGCAAGTAATGCAATTTAAGAAAATCTACAAAGATTGAAACCACAACTTAATTAAAAGTAAAATATCGTCATTCTCTCTAATGTTGTTAATTTTCATAATGATTAAAATAAATTATCATTTCTATTAATTTCATAATCTCAATACTTCTAACTGCCAATTACACTTCATGAATTATAATTATTCATAGGAAATTTAAACAGTTATTTTATCTTTTAGTTTTGAATTAAGCTGTGCCAGTTTAGGCTTATTAAGTTAACTATACAAATTAAAACTAATAAATCATAATCTTTAGTTAGTTATTCAAACTTGGTTAATATAAAGTTCTTTGACAGACTCTAATCATGCAAACTTTAAAATGATTTTGAACTATTGGCTAGAGCTCAAAATATGTTATTCAGTTTTAAAGATCATTGTAGGTGTATAATGTATTTGTACAAAAAATCTCGCAAAATTCTTAAGCTCGTTTTAGTTGAGGTTTATCGCCAAAAGTATAAAAAACTTATGAGAGTAAAATTGCGGGGAAGGAAACAATGGGAAATTAGGTCACTGAAATGTGTATGGCAAACTCATTTCATTATTAGATTGTAGATGCATCGTAGATCATGAGTACATATGTCGAATGGGATTTTAAACATGCAGCACGGGAGATGTGATAAACGGCGGCTGAGATAAGGAGCGATCCCAAAGTTTTCCCCTGCACCGTAAGACACATATCTATGTATTGTGATAAAAACACATTACGTGCCAGTTGTAGGCCACTAATGGAGAGTTGTTGATACAGAAATAGCGTGGGCTCATAGCGTTAACGGCAACGGTGACGTATATTCGCAGCCCTTACCTAGAGAGCGTGTGGCCGACTGATATAGGGGAGGTGTCCAACGGAACACAAGTATCACATACCCTCTCCTCCGTCCTACCATCACGTGGAATCAAGTAAGCAAGCACATTTAGACACCTATTGTAAAACCAATGAGGACAGCGGCGACAATGCGCGCGCGCAAACCCTACAGACAGTCAGACCCTGACCGTGTTCGATCAATAGATGCCGAGTTCGGTGGGACTGCCGTCGCTGTCGTACCAGTCTGGCCTGCTGCTCGGCGGCATAAGTAATTATTAGCAAGCATGGCGACTGCTCAGTAAAAAACGTTTACGACCAAATATATACGAAAATTTTCGTATTTGTGCCCTTCGATTATTAATAAGGGTGAGTACATAAGTATTTTCAAACATTTAATAAATTATTATTATAAGTTGAGAAATCAAATTAAACGCTCAAAGTTTTTATGCATGTGGTGTGCCTACTTTTCAATGCATGTGATTAAAATTTTTTTTGTTATGAAAAAAAAAAAGAAAAATAAATGAAACTAAATTGGATTTTTCAAGTTGATCAATCTTTAATAAGTTGAAAATTAAACTACTGGGGACATTCAATAAATTAAAATAATTTGAGATGTATTTACAGTTGTTTTTAATTATTGTTTTTGATTTAAAATAATATTATTTAGCATATTAAATTGTTAAACACAATATTATTGAGTATTACTAGCAAAAAATGCAATAAACACCATTATCACAATTAACTGAAATTAATAAAAAAAATATTTATAATTTCAAAGAATTAACTATTTTTTAGTGTATTAAATTATAACATGCTGGCCAGTTTAAAATGGCTTTTGGTGTGTAGAGTTGTTATTAAGTAGTGCCTAACTACATAGTGTTATAATTAATAAAAATGTATCTTACGCAAATTACTCATATATCATTAGGATTCAATCATAAAACGATAAAGAATGACCGTGGTCTGCGACAATGACATTTTGTTTAACTCGTTATCATTACCATGAGTCTGATTGATTTTGTTTTTGTTGAATTTAAATTATTCTATCTTATTAAAATATTTGGGTTTTAGTTAACCAGAAAGACGCATATACAAGCTGTTTAATCACTAAATCTACGTTTATTGACCTTATCGACACTATTTGATAAGAATACACGTTACTATCAACATTAATTTAAATATAATGAATACCAATATAAAATATTTTTTCAATATTATGGTTATCATTTATTACCATTACTCGTTTATAAACTATCACAAATATTTTGCATGACCTTGAAAACGCATACAATGATTAAAACAGGTTTCAATTTTGAATGTGATGACCTTCGAAAATATATTCCAGTTACTTAAACTCATACAATTTTTAATTCCACACTTACAAAATTTTAATGCTCTATTATCAAAAAAAAAAAATTGTTTTTGTTTATAAACATGTTACCTAAATATATATAATATAATTATAAAATAGGTATGAATAATATATAATTTTATTAATATTTTTATATTATTGTTATATCGAAATGTTCTTCGTCTATATAAATATGTTTTTTAGTAAATAACCATCGAAAGTAATAATTGTTCGTTGTTTTGAAATCTCAAACTAGGAAATTTTCCATGATCATAAAAAAAGTAATCAGTAGTTTTATATACAGTTTTCGGGAATGATTTATTTATTTGTTATATATTATAACATCGATTGTTTGCAGGTTAATTAGCATAAGCAATGTTTTACCAATAATGTTTAGATTCGGTTGATTAGAAGTATCTATAAGTTATTGCCAGATTATTAAGAAAAAAAAAAGTTGATAAAATGTCATTTACTCTAATTAGTCGATATCAAAAACAAAATAGATCTTAATAAAAACAGAAAAATTTTTTATTACATAGGTAGTCATTTTTCGAAATATGTGTTAGGATGTAATATTATTTAACTTTAATCTCAAATAAACCTTTTGACCTAACTATTATTTAATAACTAATTTGTTATCCTGTGTTATACATTAAAAGAAAGAAAGGGTTGTATGGTCCTTTTACTGTAATTAAAGTAACCATCATCAATTTTGCGTGTCTTGACGCCAAGTCATTTTTTATATCACAATGAATTGTTTACATTTATTTTTACATCAAACTTATAATTTTGTAATTATAAAATATTATAATTATTTTTTAATGAAGTAAAAACAATCTTAACATTGTAGTTTTAAGCAGTTTTATAGAAATGCTGATTTGTGTTTTAGTGTAATTCATATATATTGATTCAATGATATTTATTCAACACTTATCCGATATCAATTAGGGGGTGCGTAAATTTTGATTATTACCGGGATGATAAGTAAATGTATTTCATAGAGCCTAAAACTATTAGCCTAATAAAATAGGAAAAAATATAAAATTTACTACCTAACATATTCGTCTTTGAATTAATATTATGTTTTTTAATTAAACGTTAATCATGTTTAACGTTCTCACTAAAAGGTAAGATTATTTAATTTTGTTTTTTTTTTAAACATGTTTCTTTTTCAAATCATTTTTGTTATTTTTGATTTTCATATTTTAAACATAAAAAAAGCTGATTTAAACAGATTTTTCTTATATCTATAATCCTACAATTATGTCTGAAATAATTACATACCAAGCTCAGTCACATCCATCTCAGCTTATTTATTCGATGATAATGTTATACAGATTGTTTCGCATTTAACTTGGTAGACTTTATTAGGGAGTAGTATAAGTAAAGATTTATGTGCATTTTCAAAAGAATATGTACAAGTGAAGCTTCTTATATCGAACAAAATTCGAAAACAGTTTATATTGGAGTGGAGAAAGTAGTAAGCTGGTTTCTATTTTTAAATCTTAAAATAAAAAATTGACCTTAAAGAATATGTTTATTAGTAGTTATTTTTATTCATAATAAAGTTAATTATTTTATTTTTTTTACTTAGTATTTTTTTTGGCAAATGATACCGTCAACAGTTATCCACCTATTTTATAAGATATTTTTATTAAATACTGTTATTTGCTACGAATAAATAATTACATAATTTTATTATTAATTTACCAACATTTATTAGAGCCATTTCTTAAAAATTTAACACGTTTCTAAATAATTTTAACAAAAAAAAAAATTAATAAGATTATAAAAAGAACATTGGTTATTTTATGAACGGATGTGAATAATCTTTAGTAAATTTCCAAATAATGTATCTTAAAAAACCCTCATATTAAGAGTTTTGTAAAAAATTTTAAAAAAATGCATAATAAAAGTTTGAATTGAAATTATATTTAAAATATTTCAAATGATTTAAACAAATTTGTCAGCATGTAAAATAAGTGTTTGAAATGAGCTTAAAAGATTATGGACAAATGGTCTGGATATTAATGCAGGTAAACTTTTAAAGTAACTTTCACAAAAAAAGAAATAAAGTTAAACAAGCTAATAATATCATATCGAAAATATAAATGTAGAAATAATTAAACATATAAAATATTTAGGGTTGGGTTATTTTTTCTTTATATTTATCTTTTAATAAATATATTAATTTAATTTCAAAAGAAGGTTTAAAACTAATGATTTTTTTAAAAGGAACTGTGGAAATTATAAAAAAAATGTTTTGTAGAAAATTTCTATAGTTTACATTGGTACGGTCGATATTGGAATATTAATCAGTAGTTTGGAATTTTTATCAGGACGGTTTAATAAAAAAACTAGAGCGTGTTCAAAATCAATTTTTTGCCCATAAAAGTAATCAGGTAAATTGAGCGTTTAATTTAGTAGCTAATGAGTTAAATTTTTTGTTTAAATTAATATATTTTAAACAAGAAGAAAATATTTTGATGTTTTAGAGGTACACAAATTATAAAATAACTCTAACGTTTTAGGCTCAATACTATTTAATGCTTCAAAATATATTTTACGTACACCTATAACCATTTTTGCATCCTTAAATCACAAAAACTACAGTCATGCTTCACTGGTCAATTGTGTTCTCAATCCAAATAATTTAATTGGAAATTTTGATATTTTCATGATAACTTAACAAAGTTAAAATATTGGTTTAAAGAATAATTTTATTATGTTTTAATTTGTATTGAGTTGTAATTTTATAGAATTAATTAATTAGTCTATTAATTCGATTATATTCTATACCTTCACGGGCGTTATTTCTTATAATAAATAGATAAACAATTTTTTAAAACAAATTATTTACACTTAATAACCTTGCTAAAAGCTATTAATTGTGCTAGAGAGACGGAAAAACTAGAGTCCAGCGCAATGGATTCGAACTCTTTTAACTATGCACCGACGCACAATGCGTTATCGGCTGACTAGGTAGGCTGCCTATGAAAAATAAACGTTAGAAATGAAAATTTTCCGGAGAATAATAATTATTTTTCTCTATAAAGTTAGATCAAAATAATAATATTATTTAAGCTTACTCGCAAGTTAAACTTCCATATTATAAAATATATGTATCCAACATATTATTTCACTGTTGACCTTAAAAACTTTTGTAAAAAATAAACAATTATGGGTTACGATTATGGATCGTGTGTTGTGTTTGTCAGCAATTAGCATAATCGAATTTTTTATTATTATTATTTTTAGTGTGTTCCGCTCGATAATATTTAGCCATTGTGTCTAATATTTCTTTACCTACACAACATAAATGAGTTGTTAAATATTTAAGTGCACTAGCTGTTTGACTTTTAAAAAAACAGAAAAATTTGTCTTGGCATTAAATAGTACCACTTAAGGACCTCATTTAAGAACATAAATATGACAAAAAATAGTCGTTAAATCCATTTAATTATGTTATAATCTTGTTTTTGATGATTAAATTTGTGCTTTTACTGCAATACATCAATTTTATAATATAACTGTTTAATATTCCAGGGCATAAAAACCGTTTTAAATGTTCCTGTTCAAGACAGAATCGAACAGTCAGACTGATGTGCTGCCGGGGGTTCAAAACACGCAATAGTCCTTCGCAGAAAACTTCGTTGCGTTGGGGCGATTGTTGTCTGTTTCAGTCCTAAGTCAACGTTTCTAAGCCAGGGCCATAAGCAAATAAAAATTAAACCCTTGTGTTTAGCATCAAGCCAAGTCTTATGTTACAAAAGTTACCTATAAATCTGTTTACGAAATAGTATTTCAAAATACATATCCTATTTATATTTGTTTAAATTTTGTTGATTATATTTCTAATAATATATTTCTTTAATTATAATAGCAATACATAAACTATTTGACGGTTTTATGTATAAACGAGTTTATTAATTTAAAGTGACATATATTAATTTAAAAAAATTACCCGCATTTTGTGAGTTGTTTGTGAGTAAACATCACATAAAAAAAAATCTTTCGTGAGTATTTTTTGTTGACGTGTTTCTAGCTCTAAATGCAATTGTGATAAAAATATATAACTTACGATTTCAGAAAATGAATGTTGTGGGAGTGATATCTATAGTTTTTTTTTACTGCCTAATACTTATGGTAGGATTATGGGCAGGCAAGAAAAAACACACGGGAAATTCGGAAGCTGAAGTAATGCTGGCTGGCCGGAACATCGGTCTTTTTGTCGGCATTTTCACGATGACAGGTAAGCAAATCAATATTAAATTAATATAAATGTACGCGATGTATGACAATAAATTATTCATTTGTTGAAATTCAGCTACATGGGTTGGCGGAGGATATATAAATGGGACGGCTGAGGCAATTTACACGTCGGGTCTTCTTTGGTGTCAAGCACCCTTCGGATATGCCTTGAGTCTTGTTTTTGGTAAATTCACAAATAAAAAAATAATTTTTGTTTAACTACTGAAAAATATTGAAATTTCGTTTGTTGCGTATCATTCAGGTGGAATTTTTTTTGCCGACCCAATGCGTAGACAGGGGTATGTTACTATGTTAGATCCTCTTCAAGATTGCTTTGGCGAACGGATGGGAGGACTATTATTTTTGCCAGCTCTCTGTGGCGAAGTCTTTTGGTCCGCTGGAATATTGTCTGCATTAGGTGAATTTTTATTACTTAATAATTGAAAATTTAAAAAGTTTTTTTAATAAATGATTATAATGTCTTACAGGAGCTACTTTGAGTGTAATTATTGATTTAGATCAAAGTACTAGTGTGATCTTAAGTTGTTGTATTGCTGTTTTCTATACCATATTTGGAGGATTAGCTAGCGTCGCTTATACTGACGTCATTCAATTATTTGCTATTTTTATTGGATTGGTTAGAACATTTTCCTTTCAATTTAATTTAAACAATATACTAAATGATGTTTTATTTTATAGTGGTTAAGTGTACCATTTGCATTGGCTAATAAAAAAGTAGATTTCAACACTCCAGGACTAGATTTAATTGGTGAAATACAACCGAAGGACTTCTTTAGCTATGTGGACTATGCACTACTTTTAGTTTTTGGTGGAATTCCATGGCAAGTTTACTTCCAGCGTGTATTATCAAGCAAATCTGCATCTCAAGCTCAAATACTTTCATATGTAGCAGCTTTCGGTTGCTTTATTATGGCTATTCCCCCAGTAATTATTGGAATGGTTGCTAGAGCAACAGGTTAGTCATTTTTGTATTGATTTTACGATTAAAAATTATAGACTATTTTAAAAACACCCATATTAAGAACTATACAGGGTATTCAGTAAGTTAGGAAACAGTTAAATTGTTACAAACAATGAGTACAATAGAAATTCGTTTCCTTATTTACTGAACACCCTGTATAGTGCCTCCTACACAGCTAAACTGGAAAATTCAGAAAATATTGCTTCCATGAAAAATGAATGAATTAAAAATAAATTATTTTATATTTTCATATGTCACATATAGAGTGTCCAGTAAGTAAGGAAATGGGTTTTTATTGTTTGTAACAATTGACCTGTTTCCTTACTTACTGAACATTCTGTATAATGAAAGGCTAGTAAAATTCGAAATTGACCTGGTTACTCTCCTCCAGCCCTTTAATATTGTTTACAAATTCTTTATTTTAATATGAGCACTTTATATATTTATAGCTTGGAATGAAACTCAGTATAATGGTCCTATGCCCATGACACCCAAAGAAACGAGCATGGTTTTACCCATGGTTTTGCAGTATCTAACGCCTGAGTGGGTAGCTTTTTTCGGATTGGGTGCTATATCTGCAGCTATAATGTCATCAGCTGACTCGAGTGTTTTATCTGCTAGTTCTATGTTTGCTCGAAATATTTATCGCATGTTATTCCGTCAAAGTGTAAGTATATTTTATTTCTATGCAATAATATAGGGTGATTTTTTTTGTCAAAAACCACTCAATATAAATAAAAAATTGATTAAAAAGAAATTAGTTTTTTTGGTTACATATACTTCTTGATTTTTTTTTTTATTAACTCTTTTTTATAATCATACTTAATAATGTATAGGGGTTTTAACTTAATTTTTTTTTCAATAACAACCTACATATTTAACTAACTTATATGTAAATGACCTAGTTAAGAAAATAATGAGTTGATGACAGCTTTTGAACGATCATTTCCTATTATGTAATATAGTTAAATAAGTATGTTGTTATTAAAAAAATTAAGTTAGCAGTCCTATAAGCTATAAGATAATGCTAAAAAGTATTTAATAAATGGTAGATTATTTATTAGTCAAAGAGATATATGTAATTAAAAAATCAAAAAAATACTCTCAATATTGTAATTATTTTTGAGAATAATTGAGTTGATTATGATAGAGGGATCACACAATGGAAAATACAATTAAAAACAAAATTGATAATTATTTGTCATCTTTTATGTGTAGGCGTCTGAAATGGAAATCGTTTGGGTTATGCGATTGGCAATTGTTGTTGTTGCATTTTCTGCTACCACCATGGCTTTAACAATTCCGTCTATTTATGGATTATGGTCTATGTGTTCTGACCTTGTTTATGTAATACTTTTTCCCCAACTAGTAATGGTCGTTCATTTTAAAGAACACTGTAACACTTATGGATCTCTTGCTGCTTATATAGTTGCATTTTATATTCGTATGGCCGGCGGTGAACCTCTTCTCGGTTTAGCTCCTATGATTCATTTCCCAGGTTGGGATGGCGAAAAACAACTGTTTCCATTTAGAACTACCGCTATGCTCTGTTCACTTTTCACATTGGTTTTTATTTCGTGGTTAACGAAGTAAGTTTGATTAACTTATTGTAAATTTTAAACCTGTATTAATATGAATTAACATAATAAGAGTATTAAAACTACCAATATTTGAAATTCAATATTATTATTTTTTCAGATACTTATTCCATAATGGTTTACTAGCACCTCATTACGATTGGTTCAATTGTGTAGTGAATATACCAGATGACGCTGTACACGTTGGAGAACCTCACGAAGGTGAACCAATGACCACATTAACAGCAGGTATTTTTTTGCCATTTTTACAATTTACTTAACATATTTTTAATGCTAATCACACTATCATTTCGTATAGGTTCAACTGGAGCAAAATATGGTGCAGCCATTGTAACAACTGGTTTAGTGGGAAAAGATGAACGCAATGGTAGGATAAATCCTGCCCTGGATATAAATGACGACGGACCTACTGGACAACAAAAAAAAGCCAGTATCGTTGGTTTAACATACAAACAGACGACTACCGGGTTTTAAATGGGTCAGATCTCAATGGGACTTGATTGTAGGAAAATAAAATATTAAAACTCTAGGTACTAATTTTATGAATGCATATCAAATATTTACAAAGCTATTCTATAACCCCATGCTCTATTCTTCTTCCCTAGGTTAAAATTTGATGGACATAATACTTATGTGATTCACATGTAATGTTGTTTGACTGTTAGTGAATTAGTATAATAATGTATTAACGCAGTATTACTAAACACTGTACCTGTCACACGTTTGATGTTTTACTACCACTTTATCTTCCAAACATAAAAAACATATTAATATTATTGTAATAATAATACTTAATTGATAAATATTTACTATAAATTAACGATTATAAAAGTATATAAAAGTTATAGACTAATAGTAAACTACATAATAAATGCCAACTGTTATAATTTATTTAATAAGAAAAAAAGCAATTAAGGATGGGCATTCAAAGTTAATTAAAAAAGAAGTTAATGACGTATAATACACCATATATAAGGATTTTAAGTAGTTAGAGTTTTAGCTACTAAAATAATGTTACGTAATAAAGTTGTTAATGTGATTGTTGAGCTTTTTTTTAAGAAAAGTAACTTTTAAATTTATCAAGAGATTTTATGTGCTTTTATGTCTATTTTTAAAGACAAATTAAAATTCTACCACTATTGTTATCAATGAGAAATTTTCAGGACAATTCTACTAACTGATACATATCATTATAATACCTAATAATAATTAATATTAACAAATGCATATATTTTTATTGTAAAATACATATGCATTAATGACTGATTTATAGTTAAATGATATAAATTTGAATTTTGTGCAGTTACATTTCATTAGAATAGTGTAAGACTATTTTATAAAAAATCATGATGTAATAATATAAATTTGTTAAATTTAAATAAAATTTTAAGCTACTGTAATTCAAAAAGTATTTAATTATAGTATTGTTGTTAATTTAATGAAAAGGACTAAAAAGTTTTACTAACGATTTAGATACGATATGTAAGGTATTAAAAAAATACATCATAAATCAAAACATTTTATTATACTACGCCATAGTAATATCAATAGTTCTATTATTTTTGTTGTAACAATAATAAAACAATGTTAATATTACATAAATATATTATCATGGATATTCTTATCATGTATAAAATCATATGATGTATTCTTATCTATATAAAATGACTTAGTGTAAAACTTAAACACAATTAAAAATAAATCTTACAATAATCGTTTGGTAAATGACATTGAAAATAATATAAATGTATTTACATCGAAATTGTCTAGTCTATATTTTATAGTTAAATAGTAAGTTAAAATTATTTATTACATGTTAAAAGTCAATGTTAGTTCTTTAAGATGTGTTTATTAAATTTCATGACATCACAACACTGACTTTATTTATTCATACAAAGATAATTTATAATTACACTTCATTTCGTATGGCTGATAAATATCCAGTTAGTAACAGTCTATAACATAACATAGACTATTTTGACAGACTAGATGGCAAATATGTTCTATGCTATCTTATTCATAATTAAGATTTTTTAATTTAACCATATTGAGGTGGTTGAGGTTGTGGTGCTGCAAACGCATCATACGCAATAAATGATGGCTGAAATCCACTTTGACCAGATGGTTGACGATTAATATTGTTAAATTGTGAAGGATTAATATTTTGTTGTTGTTGGGTATTAAACGTCGGTGGTCTATTAGGCTGCGACGAAGCTCCTGTTGCAGGTAAATAATTTTGCCCTGATGGCGCTGGAGTAGTGAAAGTCGTAGTTGATGTAACAGAATTGTAGGCAAACTGTGAGGGCTGAGAATTAGTAGCACCTGTTGGCGTTGGGAATGGAATTGATGGAGTATTATATGAATAGCCTGATGGTGCTGGAGCTTGCTGGGGTCTTTGCTGAACTTGTGATGGTGGATTGTAATTATATCCTTGTTGTTGAGGTTGTTGTGCTTGAGGCCTAGGCGTTGTTGGTACACCCGTATAAATATAGTTATTTTGAGGTCTTTGAGTTGGTGATTGTGTTGACCTAGGTGGTCCATAAATACTCGACGGAAGCTGTGGCAATTGCGATTGAGATGGTACAGCTACTGTTGGCTGAATTGCTGGAGATTGTGTTGCTCTGATAGGATTTTGAGTAGGTGGATTGTATGAATAACCAGCACTAGCTGGTGGTTGTTGTGGTCTATTTTGTGGTTGTGGTAATAAAAGAGGGGTTTGTGGTGTACTATAAGCATAACCAGATTGTTGAGCTGGCTGTTGTTGTTGAGGTCTTTGTGTAGTAGTTGGTGTATTGTAAGAATAACCCTGGAATTGGTTATTACTATTTTGTTGTTGTTGAATTTGAGGCCTTTGTGGTTGTTGTGATTGTGAACTTTGAGAATTTCCATAATTCTGTGGTGAAAATGTTTGAGACGGTATACCAAAACTAATTGACTGAACAACTGCAGGTTGATTATTTTGTTGTGAACCACTATTCGTGTTAGATTGTCTTGGAGGTAAATAAGTATTAAAAGAGTTTTGAGGCGTCCTTAAAGACAAATTTGGTTGCGGCTGCGCTATTGATTGCTGTGTTGGCTGTCCGTAATTTAACTGCTGTTGGCCTAATGATTGTGGTTGTTGTAGTGGAGAACCATAGTTAGGCTGCGATTGAGAATTTAATTGTAGTTGAGGAGGAATAACGAAATTGGATTGTGTTTGCTGTTGTTGTTGTTGTAAAGGAGTTCCATAACTCGTCTGTGGCCTGGGTTGTTGAGGTTGCTGTTGAGTAGGAGGTCCATAACTTGGTAATGGCTGTTGTGGTTGTTGTTGGGTCGGTGGCCCATAACTTGGTAGTGGTGGTTGTTGTGGTTGTTGTTGGGTTGGTGACCCATAACTTGGTAGTGGCTGCTGTGAAAGTAATGGTTGTTGTGATGGTTGTGATTGCTGTGTTTGTTCTTGAGTTGGAGCTCCGTAATTTGGCTGAGGCTGTACTGGTGGTTGTGGTTGCTGTTGAGGGGCTAATCCGTAATCTTGTTGTGGCTGTTGTTGAGTTGGTGGTCCATAACTTGGTTGTGGTGGTTGTTGTGGTTGTGGTTGTTGTTGAGTTGGAGTTCCATAACTTGGTAGTGGTTGAGCTGATGCCTGGGGTGATTGTTGTAGAGGAGGTCCATAACTAGGCTGGGGTTGAGGTAAAAATTGAAGCTGTGGGGTGTAGCTAGACTGTGAAGTTGGAAATTGTTGTTGTAATGAATTCTGTGGAGAAGGTTGAACGGGATTGATATTTAATTGAGTTTGAGATTGCTGTGAAGGTAAATAATTTGACGGGAGTGATTGCTGTTGTGTTGACGAGGGTTGAAGTGTTCCATAATTTTGTTGAGGTTGAGCAATGGTTTGACCAGGTTGTTGTTGAGAATTACCAAAATTTTGTTGAGGACGCTGTTGGGGGGTATTATATGTTAAATCTATTTGATCTAGTGGATTATTTAAGTTTTGTTGTGGTGCATTATAGTTTTGCTGGGGTTGTTGAGGTCTTTGTTGCGGTGTATTAGGCAATTGTTGTGATTGACTTTGCTGATCACTATAACTTTGTTGAGGAACACCAAATGGTTGTTGTGCTAGTTCCGAATAGTCACTCCATGCTTGTTGGAGTTGAGATTCATTAGGTTCATTTTGAGAATTACCAAAACTTAGTGATGCTAGTGCTGATGTCAAACCAGCAAACTGTTGTTGGAACGGATTTTGAATGTTACCAAATAAAGCAGCTGTAAAAGAATTAATAAATTATTTAAGGAAACTATATATAAATATTATATTATTAGAATATAGATAATTTTAAAAATAATATACAGTTTTAATAATATAAACAATGTATTTATTCAGGCAATATTTCCAAAAAATGTAATAAAGTAAAGATGCCCAAACACATTGAAAAAGTATAAGAAATAAGTACACAAAATTTTTGTAAATGCTATAATTATTAAGTAAACACTTCAATTATTTCGGTGTTATTATCGAAACACTCTCTAAAGCTTAAAATCACATGTTCAAAAATTAAATTTTGAACATCAGATATTCAAAAAATATTTAGATCTACAAACGAGCAGTTGTATGTTCGAATGCTATGAAAAGCTATGCTATAGGATTAAAAATTTAGTAATGTCTATGGTGTCAACTTTATTTTTTAAATGGGAACATGCATATTTAACAATCATATAAAATAAAAAATGATTTAATTTAATAATCCGCACCTCCCTCCAATTTTTATTTAAAAATTTTAATGACTGCCGTTATAATGGTTCTAAAGTTGTTATTTTCTTGATTAATTTTTAAAATTGTTCAATATGTATGTGGCCATTAAAAAATACATTGTTGATACTCTTTTAAGGTACTGAATTTATATGTATTTATAAACTTTAACGTTAAACAAAATTGTATAATGTTTAAATGGTTAATAACGATAAACTTAATTATAATATATTTTTGAACCGTTCTCTATTCATCAGTGATGACATATTATATACAATAATTGTTTTAGTTAAAGTTTAAATATTTAAAATAGTTGAATATTATAAATATTCATTTGGAAAAACGATAGTGTTAATATAACCAACTTTTAAAATAGCGTTACAAATCTGTTTATGTACAAAAGTATAGTATTTTATCAATTTTGTGGTTTAAAGTAAGATTTTCAGGAAAAAAAAAACAAAAATACGTTATTTTTCATAAAAAAAATATTGCAATGAAAATCTTTAAGTTTTAAGGTAACTACTTTAATTTTATCATATGAGTTTTGTGCGAAATATTTAGTTTTTGTTTACGTTGTTTGCACCTCTAGATTTAGTCAACATATTAGTGTTACGATTTCCCACAGAAAAGTAAACAAAATGTTTTATTAAAAATAAATAAGATAAAATCGACGTCTGTTAATACTATGTTCTGCATTTTTATTTTTATTTTATTCTACTAATGATACTGTTTCGATAAAATATAAATGACTTATTAAACACTCAATAAAATTTGAAAAAATTGGTTGTGGTATAGCACTTATTATTATTTATATCGTCACTCCTTCAAGACTTAATATGTTTATATTACAGCCTTTTTGGTTTTTTTTCTAAAGATTTTAGCGTGTCTAACTATGACATAATTAGAACCATCTTATTATTTATAAAGAATAGGTGTATATTTTTGACGAACCGTTACAATCGTAATACGGTCAACATAGGTTTCCGGTTACTGAACTTGAAAATCACTAGTCTTCAACGTTAACTTGCGGAAGACTTGGTCGGCTCTAAATTAAAAATGATTTTATCTTTCCTTAAAGAGTTACGGTCGAAATAAATAGTAAAACTAAAACAATTCTTTAGAGTTTCAAGAACTTAAAATTTAAAATAAAAACGTTTGCTTATCGAATTAATAAATATAACAATAAAAGGAAATTGAATTTATCAAAATGAAACATTATTGTTTAACGGTCTTAGGTAAGTTCATATTATACTGTGAAAAATTTCTTTATTTAGTCTAGACGATGAATTTATGTGATAAATTAAAAAATTACCAATTCTCGTAAAATTAATGAAACTGTAATTGTAGTAATATTGTAGTGTTATCAAACATTAAAACATTTTTGCTGAATATGAATTGATTTCGTTCAAAATATTTGTGTTATACTTGTAATTTATTAATTATAATTTTTAACATTATTTACTAAGCAAACAATTGTTTTCTTTTTTATAAGAATATTTCATGTTATTATTTTTAACGAATAAATTTACAAAATCATTTTGTTTTTATATATCTTTATGATTAAAATAATTATTTTTGGTATCAGCATTTTTATTAAAAACTTATCTATTAACTGGTTGTCTTGAACTCTCCAAAAATATTTCAAATATAAAATTATTATTATTAATCATTCTTGTACAAAAGAAAACAAATACTAATAATAATTTTAGATTGCAGTCTAAATCTATAAGAATTTATTAATAAAAAAAAGAAAAAATTAAAAATATAAGTAGTTTAAAATTATAAGAATTGTCAGTTAAATCTATTCCAACCGGTATATACAAGATTTTATGTACATAAGTATTATAATTATTTTATTTAATCTTATATGATCTATTATTTTAAGAGTATTTTTTAGATGAGGTTTTTATCTTTTAAGTATGTCAATATTAAAAAAAAAAAAAATTAAATAGATTGGGGAACAATAGTCATTTGTGGTCTCCTAGTTTTCTAAAAATATATGACAGCTAAAAATCATGTGACCACGTTAAATGATTAATAGAGTTTTCTAAACTATAAAAATTTTATATAATAGTTGTTAATTAAGTTTTGCCTTGTTGTTTTAAGTTTTATCACAAATATTTTTTTAATCTCGTTTTTTGAAAACTCTTTTCAAGGCTAGTTTATTTTATTATATTTCACTATGGTTATAATTTAAATAAATATCAAGTTATAACGATTACATATCAATATTGCAAATTTTGTAAAACTAGATAACAAAAAAATTATGATCATTTCCAATTTTTTTAAACTTAAACAAACCATAGTTACACTAATTTAAAAATGTGAAACATTAGTATGTTTTCCCATGTATATTAATACTTCATTTATTAGCAATTGCAATATTTTTTGACAAACGATACGTATGACACAAATTTAAGTGGTTCTTGCTAAGTTAATTGCAATTTCCCTATTTTCCCCTATAATTTTATAATATCAAACATTATTATTGTATTTTTAAACACTAATATGGTGGCTATTATTATAGTAATAGTAACAGTAATAGTACCTGTTTTTATAAATGCAGTGAAAAAAATGTAGTTATATATATTAGCTATAATATATCTTTTAGATGGTTTCATAAATTGTACATTTTATCGAGTCTTTCGTGTAAAAAATGTCGTATTATTACAATGACGTAAAAATAGAATAACTGATAAATGAACGTCAACTTTTTTTACTAAGTTAAATATTATTTAAACCTACAATTTGCCATTACAAATTATGTAGTAAAATAAAGTCTCCTTCACAAAAAAAGATTACAATCATTAATTTTTGCAATGTTTGCTATTTAATTTTATGCTTCAACTATTCCATTTCATTATTTACCTTAATGGGTAAGACAAATATTTAGTTGAAAATTTGTGTTTTTTATTTACTTTACATCCATTAAATATAAATGTTTTGGCATTATTATAATATTCTAACGAATACTTTATTATAATATTAAATGGCCCGTTTAAAAAATAAATAATTTTTACCATGGGAATTATCTTTAATTTTCTTTGTTACTTTAATAAGTGTCAGTAGTAATAAAAATAAATTTTCATCAGGCGGCTAAGATATATAAATAGTATTTTTGCATTTTAATAAATCAAATTTACTTGCAGAATTTGTATTAATTTTATCAATAATATTAAGAATTTAAACTATTATCTTCAAAAATAACTATTATAAATTATTAAATATAAATATAAATATTCATGAAGGCTCTATAATCTTTATTTATATCTATCCTTTTTAAAATGTTACATAGCCATTAAATAAAGACTTATTATTATTTATTGTACTTACCATCGCGTTTCTTCGGTAAAATTGCAGATGTTGAGCTTACAGCGAATGCAAATACGGACACCAATACAATTGATTTCATTTCTGAAAGTTTGTTATAATTAAATACTTTATAAAAAAATTTTTTTTGAAATTAATATGATAATTTATTTTATATAAAATATGAATCCATGTAATTAGTTCATTATTTTTGAATAACTTAAAATTTTGTAAATAAAAAGTTAAGAGCTTTTACCTCATGAACTATTTATTATACTTTCTAGAGTGTTACTTTAGAGTGTTAACGTTATTTAATAATAGTTATAATATGAACAAATTATTTTACAATATTTTTTATAAAACAGATAGTTATGTTTAGTTAGCATAGCCATTTGTTAATTTACAAAGCAATAATTAAATGGTTGTATTCAATATTACGTTATTGATCTTCACCATAAAAATTAACTTAATATGAAATTTTAATATATTATGTTAATATTTGCTTGTATAAATAATATATAAATATTAGAATATTGTTTTTTATATTTTTAATTTAAATTTCAGTTTACAATTATTAGCTTGATCAAAAAAATATTATGCATGGGTAATAACGTAAAAGTTTAAAAATATGATTATTTTAAAATACTTTTTGAAAATTATTGTTATGTATAAATAGTTAGAATTCTCTTATATTTTTAAATTTAACGAATGACATAAGAGTATAGTTTTGCATAATTGAAAATTGTGAATATGTTTCTTTTCAATTGTTAAAGTTATGAGCTCAAAAGAAATTTTTTTACGTCGCGTTATTGTATAATACTATTTCACTTAATGAGTTTTTTCCTTTCCCTTCTTTTTAAATTGTCAAAGTGTTATAGTAACACGAATTAAATAATAGACACATATTTCTTGGTAAGATTATCAAGTAATATCAACATGAACGATAATTGATGCATGCTTAAATGTTTATCCTCGAATTTCTTTAATTATTGAGATTCAATTTAAAATTATATTATATGATTTTTATTAGTATTTATCTTTTTGATAAGGAGAAATTAAATGGAAAAATACCTTCTCAACATCACATCGAAGCTAAAATTATAATTTATAAATTTACCTATTAGAGCAACCCAAGCATTTTTAATTATGATTAAATAAATGTAGCTAACTGAAATTTTATGAAATATTGAAATTTATACAAATAAATCGCCGAGAAACTGCTTTATTTAACAAAAAGTTTAAAGAATTATTTCAAGAAAAAATATAATTATCAAAAATATTTATACTTAATATATTATACATAATATTTATAGTATTATTATAATAGTATTAATATGACACTTAAATGATGTTCAGCTTAACATTATTAATTTCGGTTATGTGAGTTTATTGGGTTATCACAATTAATTTTTTAATGATTATTTATGAATTTCTAAATAATAGAAATTACGATATAATTTTCTAAAAGAGCTTGTATGGTTCAATTTTCGTCAGTTACTATAAAAAAAAAATTAAGTTATTTCAACTTGAAAATTAATTGAAGAATCATTTCACGAATTGCATGTTTCCAGTGCAACTATAACTATGTGAGGTATTATTTTATACATAATTATGAAATAACAGTATCTCAAAATCTACTAATAAGTAATTTAAACACTACTGTTTTAAAATTGTTAATCTTCATATTCTCAACAAAAATGTATTTAAAAGAGTGATATAGTCATAATGTTAAAAACTCGTCTTACTGTATATTATGTATTAGATTAAATTCCAGATAGAATAAAAATCCTTTGTTTATTTGTTTCTCATTAGCTTCAAGTTATTCCAAGTTTAATGGTTTAATAACAATACAAAAATTGTCTTAGTAAAAAAATTAACACTGCACTATCACGGTGGCGAAAAACGATTGATCAACAATATTATCTATCACTGTTATAACATTAGAAATCCGATGAAATTCGGTCCAGACATCATTCCGATAGCATTAAATGAATATAACACTTCGGATGGCGGGCAAATCTTATTTATATTATGAAGATTTCGGGAGGGACGCTGGGCACGGGAGAAAGTGATTGCGAACGACCTTGCCATGAAAATTACGATGATCTATTGTGATGGGGTAACGACAGTGTGTAGGTGTTATGGTTTGGAATTGTCAAATGAATACTTATCAAACTCCAAAGGCAGCAATAACTGAAAGCTTAATAATTACAATACAATACGATAATTTAACATCTATTTAGTGCATTATACTTGTTAATAAGAATGTAACTCTATCAACTGTTATAATTGGACACAACAATGAACCAATACAGTATTTAAAAATTAAGTTTAATTCACAATAGTCTAAGAAAACAAATTATAATTATGATACATGTTTATATTTTTAATTCAATGAATTTCATTGTGAGATTTATTATTCATTTTGATTACCGAATAAGATTTATGAATATTTTCCACACATTATTTTTCATTACCATACGAGGTATTTAGTTGAATACATTTAAATTAACATAAAATATAAGATAGAATTTTCAGTCCCTTAATATTAACAATCGTAAACACGCATTACGTTGTAATTAATGTAAATGAAAATGTATAAGCCAAACTTCCTTTGAGACTGAATACTGCAAGTCTACAGCCTGAGGCCAACATCTAATCTATTATGCCAAAATTATTATTAAACATTTAAATTTTGTATTCGTTTTTTATACAATACGTGTAAATACTGTAGACTAATTATGTATGTACACAAATTATATCTTATGTTTTCTTGTTTACAAGAATAATGGAAATTTTTTGTTTTTATCAACCCTATCCGTTATATTAGGGGCGTTATTTGGCGGCTGGCAATTTGGCCATTTGATTTAGTCTAATTTTTAGTGAAAAAAGGGGTGAACTTTTGTAGACTAGACAGTAAATTTTTTTAGCCGATTAATAACAATCTATGAAATGCAATAAAATCAATTTTGAAGAGACGAAAAAGATTCATAAAAGTACGTATTTATTTATCTATAATTCGATAGAAACTCGAGTTTAATAGTCTTTTTAAATCTGTTAAATGTTCTCTTAAACAGATACAACACAGATAATTACCCTATCGTTATTAAAAAACATCAACACTCAAATAGCTCAAACAAAAAATAAATGAAAAATTTCTCTTATTATTTTGTTTCTAATGTCTAAATCTTAGTTTCTAACATTGTATCATGATATTGTTTATGTACAATTTCAAAACTACGAATGTACGTTTCTTAACGTTGACAATAAAAAGTTTTTGTTGAAATTTCTTATAAGTTAATTTTGTTTATAACTCTAAAAGATCTTTCATAGTAATTTTCTTGAACATTTATTCTTTTATATTGTTAACCATTCTTTTTTTTTTGTTAATTTTTATTTAAGATGTAATCGGTACGAGTTGTTGGGAAATAAATTGATTGATCTGCTCAAGAATTTGGCCAATTCTAGTAAAATCTTAAACCTTTGCGTTTTATGTTATTAAATCGCTATTCGACTTTAGACAAAATCATTCTTCTTTATAGGATTGTTAAGAAAATAATCATGCGTTTCTATTTTTATATAGAAATTAATATTATTACAATATTAAAAACGATAATTAATATTATTACAATGGATTCTTTTTAAAATCGTATAATTGAATATGTTTAAAAAAAAAATATATATACATATATATATATATATATTATTAACTACCTAATTTAATATTTATTATTGGTTATGATCATAGAAGAGTAAACATAGAACACTATTTTTAATTTATAGATTGATGGGGAGCAACGAAGAATATAATTTAAGATTACTGGAAATTCCTTCCCGAACTTTTATGTTTAAGGCCGACGTATTCAATAAACATAACTTTATATATATATATATATATATATTACATAATTTTACCTTTAATTTAAAGTTATAGACTATAAATGAGTTGTTTTGTTGTTAAAGGATTCATGCCCAAAAAAAAAAATTTTTTTCTATTTAGTTGTATGCTAATTCACCTAGAAAAAGTAAAATAAATTTTATTTTATTTCTTCCAATATGTTACTTAATGAGTGCCTATATAATAAAAATAATAATATAATAAATCCATTTTATAAAACGCTTCAAGTTTTATTCCAAGAACAGAGATACTAAAGAGAAATGACTTGGTAGTCATTTTTAGAATTATACTGATTTTGTTTAATAAGTGAAAGGATCTACATATGAAGTAATTATGTAATTAAAGTTCTAAAAGACAAAAACCTTTTATTCAAAATTTTAAACTATTTTGAGAAAACAATAAAATGTAAAATTTTTATGGAATCGGTAAACATTGTTTCATTACAGTCCACATATTTTTTAATTATGTTAACCGTTAACTTTATAAAGTTAACAATGTATTGCCTGTTATATTTTTACACTTATATACATCTCGAGTAATACTGAAAATAGTTTATAGTTACTAAAACTCAGTGTTCCAATTAAAAACTACCAGTCTTATATCATAACTTATATTAATATTATACTTTTAAGCATACTGAACAATTTCTAGCAATTTATTTTCCGTAATAATAAATGTTGACGTTGCACAAAATTAAGTATTAATAAACAAACTATTCACAAAAAGAGACAGGCTAGATTATAAAATATAATTTAAAAGATTTACAGATGACGTCATTGTAAATATTTTCCGGCGTAATAGATCGCCCTCGCAAAAATAAGAGAAATGATTTAAATTATTCTCATTTCTTATTATACAAAATATTTTATTGTCCACCTCACATTGCATGTATTGCAATTTTTTGTTTATCATTTTACTCTATTCTACGTTTGCGTACACTAAGAGGCAAAATCCATTAGCACTTTTTATATAACGCCACGTGATATACACATCGCTTGACCAAAATTTGTCTATTGTGAATGCGTACCTAACCGTAAATGGCAAACATTCTGTAAAGTGTAAAAAGTAGGAAGGTGATTACCTATTAATGAAAATTACATTTCCTGTCATATCAAAAGTGTATCCGGTTTAAAATGGCTTCATTGAATTTGACTTAAATTCTTTTTAAGTAGATACTATTCTAAATACGACTTTTTATTCAAGTCTTACTTGCTAAATCATATTGAAATATTGTTTCCATTGAATTGTTATGAAATCACATAAATTTAATTTGAATTTCGCATCATTTAATTGTTTGTTTTTAGATATTTTACATTGAAAAAAAAAATTATGTAAATCACGAAAAAAATGATTGTGTAACCACTTATTTTTACGTTAATTTTTATTTATTTAAGACTACTATATGAAAATTTGTCAACTCGGATGTAAAAAAAAATATATACATAAATTTGATAAGATTTCATTTAAAATAAAATACTTTTGGTTAAATGGAATTGACAAGAAAAACTTGATTGGAATCTCTAACCAAGCAAATTCAAAATAACTATTATTAAGGTTTTACATATTTTTATAACATATTTAAAAACCCAATGAACCGAATAATTATTTTTGATCAATAGTTAATTATTGAGTTTCTGCAATATTTTGAGTTGTCTATATTGGATCAAACAGGATGATTGTGTTATCATGAACCACTTAATCAAATGATAATAACATTTAATTTTTTTTTTTTATATCCTTCAGTAATATGTTTTTCTTAATTTACTAATTATGAAGTATTTTTATACCGTATGATAGCAATATAAAGATAGCAACTTTTTTTTTTATTCGCAACACTCATTTTATTTGTTCATATAGTAAAAAATGATTTAACCAAGAAGATGAATGGTTAATAACAACTTTTGGATCAGTATTTTTGAAGTTATAATCACTTAATACTTGCACAAGAGGAGTGCAGTCAAGACTGTATATTGATTATAATAACAACATACTCACCTCAAGCCATAAGTTGCTAACCTTATAAAACAAGGGGATGAACATAAAAATACTTCATAATTGATGAATTGAGAAAAACTTACAACTAAAAAAAATCAAAAAAAATCTCAATATAATTTTTATTTTTCGATTAATTAGCGGTTTACGATAAAAGAATCAACCTGTCTAATTTAAATTCAATATATTTTTACTTATCTAAATCAAATATAAGTATTTAATTTCAATAAATTCCCTACCCAAACCACTAAATAACTACCTAAATTCGATATTTATAAAATTAGTTTTAATTATTTATTTTACCCTTAAGTGTAAATTAAAATTTTCATTTAACATGGTTAAATCATATTACTGTTTTATTTATACGAATTATAATTAAATTAAGAAGAGAATTATCGTATTATATATTATTAATATAAATCAAAACTCTCAATTAGTAAATTTTTATAGAGTAAAAAATTACCAATTATTGAATAGAGTTCATAAATTAAAAAAAACTACTTAGATTAGTTTAATAAAAATACTTGTGCAATTACCATCGATCCATATTCTTTTCTAGATTCATAAATAATTTAAGTTGTGTTAGAAAATAATTGATTATTTACTTTTGAATAAAAATTTAAAAAAAATTATGGTCGTATTGCAGTTTTCCCCTTATATACTACTTAAGTTATTGTAAATCGTAAAATTTAAACGAATATTTTACAAATTAAAAATAATCAATTTTCAAAACACGCATAAAGTACCAATTCAATGAATATAAATTAAAATAATAGTTACTTCGTCTTTCAAAATATTACGAGACTTTACGTGAACATGTGAAGATCTATCTTCTTAACTCATTCTATTTAATACTATTACTGTTTATATTACAGATTCAACTTATACATAAAGAGTCGCCCAAGGAATTAGTTTATTTTTTCGACTTTTTAAATATATCTATATAATTGGCCGACACTTTTTGTTTATAATTATGTTAATGTAAAGTGAAATTTTAAGTGAGCTGTTTTTAATAAGAAATCTGTTCGTGGGTTACATAAAACTAGTCAGCTATTATAATTATCTTTCCAAAGGAAATACATTTATCAATATATATCAGTTATAATTTTATAATTTAAAT